CAGGCATGATGACCATCCGCTAATCTAAAACTAGCAAATATTTAATACAATAATGCGAATAAATGTAATTCGCATAGCGTTTTCCTTAATTCTTAATTCCATAATTCTTATTATGATTATAGCGATTTGTTATTTTGTTATTTACGCTTTGAATTTTATCCTTAGTCTACTCAACTTCCTTGTTGCATTATTTATCGAATATGAGTAAACGAATCGTATAGAAATTTTAAATTATGATTAATCAAGATAACACCGCGAATATTAATGATCACTTGAAAACACTTGGAAATTTTCTGAAACAAATATTAATAAATTATACTTATTCAATTTAACATTCCACCCCCACTTTCACTTTCGGTTTCAATTATCTCTTTTCGCGGAATAAACTTCAACGAAATAAGTGCAAGCATTAGACTTGATAAAGAGTGAATTGAATCACATCGCATGACGTGCGCGGCACGCAGAGCGAAGAAAAAGTGAAAACAACGAAAATAATTAGCGATAATTAGCGGTAATCGCGACGATGGCAACCTCGCCGCACCGACCGCACTGCGTAACATTCGTAATACTCGATGCCATCGTAATAACAAACATAAACTCGCATTAACTGCATTGAGTAATTTTAATTGATAACAAAAAGAAAGATTGATATTTATCTTATTAAATTAAATTGATTACCGATGAGATATGTTAAAAATGTTGTTTCACGATAATGTATGTAACGTTTGTTGAAATATTAATATAATTTTATTGCTAAAATAATTGCTTTAATAACCAAGAATAAGTAGTGAATTTACGCCAAAATTATTTTTTTAAATTTTTGTTAATATGTTATTATTGTCGAACTATTCAGCTGGTTAATTTAACAAGATGAATATGTGACAAATTAATCATATTTGATTTTTAAGTCTGACCACAATTAATCAATGTTTTGGTTTGAGGTCTATGAAAACAATATGCAAAGAATTAGTGGAAAAGAAAGTTTGATTATTTTTTTAAACATTTTCCTACGCGCCATTAATAAATAATAAATTAGCAATTTGTGGTGTTGTAAAATGCAAAACCGCGATTATGAATTCATTTCCTGATTTTGATCTTGCACATTTTCCATTGCCGTATCAGTGTTTCCATCAAAACGCAAATTTCTAATTTTTTTTTTCTTCAATGCATGCATAGTTAATACCACACATGCGCATGATGGAAGTCTGAATGACGTATTATGTATGCAAGCGGCTGTCGATGTAGATGCAAAACGCTAATTGTGGAAGTATGGATATTTAGTTGCGCTCGCACACGAACGCAATCACTTTCACTCATTGCAGTTCGTTCGCCCGTGCAGTTCCTCGACGCCCGGCTGCCATGCACTTCCAGCGCACGCTGGGAACTCGCCGCCGACATCGGAAGTAAGTGCATCCACGTTTCCGAATTTCTCTCCGTGCTCATTACGCATTAATTAAGTAATGCGGTGCACATGCATCCGCGTTTGAATACTCCACTCATGCGTAGTAACAACTCATGTGTGTAAATGTAATTTTTCTTAATCCGGAGACATTTTTAAATGTCAAAATTATGTGAAAATTAACTTTCTACAAGATTGCTGTGTAATTGTTAATTTTCTGTTGAATCGGTTATAAAATTGACAGTAAAATTTAAATTACCGATTATTAACATATCAACAATGGATGAGGATTAATATAATTATTGTAAATGTCACCGCACTGTCATGTGTGCACGCTTTTTTCTTGTTGCTGTTTTTTTTCTTTCTTGTTTATAACCGTGTGCGAATGTGTGTATGTACTGAGTGCATTCGGTTTGTGGTCATGTTCATGTGCATAATGCCAGTGCATGCATGTTGGTGCGGTGTGAACGACCGTAGGAAAGTCGACGTCGACGAGCGCTTTCCACCAAAGGATTTATTAACTACACTCGCTTATTTACTATAACGACTGACCAGCACCTAGAGAATATTCATGTAATCCCTGTTGCAAAATAATAAAATCTTTGGTGAGAAAATAGTTATTTATGTATGAAGGTAGGTATTGAAGATGTAATTTTAATATGAATGTTATTAAAGTAATATAAAAAGGATTACATTAATATCCGTTTTATTTCCTGATCTTCTCCAGACTGCTTTCGATTTTAGAAAAAGAAATAAGAAACTCTTTTAAGTTAAAACTTTGTAAATTAAAATTGTTTGTACACAATTATTAGAATTATTTTTTACAATTGTTTGATAGTAGATCGTTCATTATTAAATTTTGAATGTCTAAGGTCGAACATTACATAAATATTCACGATTTTCCAACTCAATGTTAATTCGAATTCAAAGTCAACCTCAAACTAACGGTCCGGCTGGTCTCTGGCATTGACAATGCGCAATTATATCACCTTTACAACAAACATAAAAAAACGTAAAACTTCCGAAGGTTTCAAAAACCATATTTATTCCATAGACACCGTAAAAACGAATACTAATGCATTACGTTACGATTTCCTACAATTTAAATGCAGTCTTAAATGATCGTCAAAAAATGTTAATCTGGCGAATTTATGCGGTAATTATTTAGCTCTGTCTCGGAATATCTTGTAATGCTTTGATAATTATTTTAATTAAGACGCGGCGTACTTGATAAGTAAATAACCGACCATGCACACGAACCAACAGGCATGAGACCAAGAAACGGATTAGTTCACCATTGGACTTGTTGGAGTGTAAAAGTACGTTGATGTATGGATATGAAAAATCTCCGGACGAGTTTGAACGATATCTGTACAGTTAGACGGTGGCGACTGGTGGCGACGCTCTGGCGTTTCCACAGGTCTAACTCCACCTGAAACGGGAGTATTGCATAATATACCTACCGACTATAGATTTTGCTGTGATATATTTATTTGCTTTGTTCTTTGATTGTATTATTTGAGTGGCTGCATTCTGGACGCATGGTGAAAGTTTGGTTGATGATCATGAATGAGTCTTTAGTGTGACCACTAAAGGTCCGTGCAGGTCTTAAAGGCCTTAGACTTAGACTTAGAGTCGGAGCAGTGGCGAGAGGTCGCGAAACGTCGAACGCGAAAGCTCTGTGCTCTCTCGGTCGTTGGCCTAGCCTTTGAGAGCATCGTCGTCGTCGCGCGAAATAGCCGAGCGGCAGGGCATCTCGCCATCGCCGGCACCGGCGTGCAGAAAATGCGCAGAACGCGCGCCATTGTGGCAGAAAACCCTCCTGCTGGTCAGCGTCGATTGCAAGCCAACGCAGGCCGACGCAGCGGCGATTACATAAAAGATCTATGAGGATCCATTTCGTGATGATCGAAAAATTTCACAAGATCTATCTCTACTATGACTTAACGTCAGAAAACTTGCCGAGTCAGGTCGGAAGACAACCAATAAAGAAAATTGAAATTTCTTTTCTTCTTCTTATTAAAATATGAATTTTAGTTTTTACTTTAATTTTAAATGACCACCCACCGAATGTTTACCTTTGCGAGTAATACTTATCCACTTAAGTACACATTAGAGTTAATGCGTTAAAGTTATGGAAAACTAAAACGGAAATATTAATCGTAGTTTAAAGACGACTATTTTGCGAACATTTTGCAAGCGTAATTGGCGCATTTTCTGCGCGGCGTGCGGCATGCGTGTGGCATTTTCCTGCGGCCCTGCGGTACTATGCATGCAGGCCGTTTCTGTGTGCACACGCGCACAAGTGTGTGGATGTGTGGAAAACAGCTGAGCAGTTCGCTAACGCGTTTTTCAACCTCAGGAGTCGCAGGGTGAATGACATAGACAACAACATAAAATCATGACAATACATATTGTAATTTTTTGCCAAATGCAATTAATTTTTAATCAATATTACTTTAATTTTTAGTATTAAATTGAATTATAATTTAATAATATTTATTATGCAGTTTTTGTTATTTGATTGCGCATGGCTTGAAAAGTTTCTTCAAGTTTCTTTCCAGCGGTAATTTTAAAATGCTGCACAGCGCCATCGCTGAACAGAGAAACAGACTGCAGGAGTGCTAAGTAGTTCTCTATAAAATGCCAATACAAACCCAAACATAACATCCATGTATAAATACATTTTAATTCATTTGAATGTAACTAGATGTCCATGCTATGCATAATTTTATTATTATTTCTTGACATTTCTTTTTGAAGATTTATTTTGGGAACCAAAATAGTGTTTTTAATTTTTGCACAGATAAGATTTATTTTTGATTGCGAAAATTCATACTTTTAAACTTGAACTCGTGAACTTAATCTAAACAATTTGTGTATATAGTTTAATCAAATAATAACTGTAATCAATTTTTGTAACACGCAAAATAAATTTCTAAATTTGCGTTAGTATCTATTTACAAACTAAAAAAGGCTTCATTATTATATTACTTTAAAATGCATAAAGTTTTATAAACATATAATAATATTATTCAACAAATATTAAAATACTAAATTTGAGATGACAGAATATCAATAAAACATTGCATTGCGTGCAGTATAAAATCATTACATTGTTCAACTTCATTTTCGATTTTGAACGCAAATCAAAGTGCAATAAAACACATAAAATACTTTGCTCCAGCTATAATTATTTTGACTATCAACAATAATTATTTATTTATACTTTTTAAAGCACGGGACGGTACGTATCTATTTTTATAACGTGTATGCGCACTTAATAAACGATTTTTCGAGCAAGCACGCCATCGCACGCGTCTCGCATAACAAGTTTAAGCGTCTTTCGCAACTTTCACTGGCGCGCATAGGCAATATTAAACTCGTACTGAATTCCAGTACGCAAACCTACTCTTCGTTTTCCTTCTGAGTTCGTATTGCTTTGTTCGAAAATTTACGCGTGAGCTAGACCTCGGCAATTTGATTTAGTATAACTCTTAGTTATCAAAGTTTAAATTAAACCAACTCTTAAACAAGTGTGCTTGAAAAAAACAACAATAATTTCAATGTCAAGTAAGACTCCTTTAAGTTTTGTTCATAAAGTTATTCAAATAAATAAAAACTGTTTGCCAAAATAAAATATTACAAATCAAATAACTAAGTGTAAGTGCTGTCTGTCATTAAGCAAAGTGTAATTATGACATAACTTTAGTGACGCATGACATGACGTGACACAACGAGAGAAGCGTCGTCTCGCGAAATTGGCCGCGCACCTTCGATTTGAAATTTTAAAATTTCAATTTCCAGTGTGCGCGTGGATATTGAAGCAGCGCGAGGTGAGAGTCTTAACGCTTGTTGCAAAGAGTGGTCGAAATTCGCATATAAGTGTGAAATGTCGTAAATGAATTTTCAATACGACGAAAAACTAATAAATAAAGTGCAAACACCTTTAAAAGACAAACATAAATTGAGTTGATTTGTGTTACAACGTGTTAATTCACTTAAATTTAAGTGTGCCAGTGATTTATGACTTAATTATAATCAATACATTTCAACAAAACATCGCAAAATGTATAATGGTAAGTAATAAGTTATAAAATTATACCCATACATTTAAATAATTTTAATAAATGTTTTAAAAAGATTTAAAATACCAAGAAGATGATGATGATCATCAGGATCATGAACCGGAAAAGAAAGAAGATCTCCTAGAAGCCACTGTGGGAAGTTTTGGGCGATGGCAATTTGTAATTTCTTTCTGTATGGCGATGCTTAAATTGCCAATTGCGTGGATTCAGCTAGGCATTGTTTTCTTAGCGCCTCCAACGGAGTTCTGGTGTCGTGCTCCGGAAGATTATAAACTATATACTCGTGAAAAATGGATCGAACTGATCGCACCAGGAAATGCATCTAGTTTTGAGGTAGGTTATCTCATTTAGCATTTCCCAAAGATTACCGACGGTTACGTATTGAATGAAATAACATAAATAAGGCAAATAAAGAGAAAGTTGAATTGCCTTCTGGTTCCGACTGAAACTAATCATTTACCATGCTCATAAAAAACATCTGCTTTAAACAGCGAAAATAATAAACATAAAATGATAAGAAATTAATTGTCTAGACACTATTTCTTCTAAATAAAACCATAAAAAAACATTTGCAAGCAAAACAAGTTTGCAACGCGAAATAACAAATAAGTAGATTTGAACTTCCGCCAAAAAATAATAGAATAATCTCCATCTTAAACAAAAGTTTTGTATTGTTCGTCATTATTATTCAATATGCAGTAATAAATAGTAATTAAAATGTTACACGTGAAAAGGATGTACAATAAATTCGCACACGTGTGACAAGAAGAAACACGCATCGCCTTTTTAGATTTATTATTTGATGTACACGGATAATTATTAGATAAGTGCATCAATATTAAATAAAACTGGTTTTAAAAAGTAATATACTTGTGTCACAGTTAAAATATTGCTCAACAGACGAAAACAGCACTTTTCCATTAATTAAGTTCGTTTTTATGTTCTTGTTTTTACAGCCTTCTTAAATATCATTATTAAGCAAAATTTTATATTTATCACACTGTAACCTTTCCAAGCGGCACTAAAAAATGTTCACGTAAACAGATTTTCTTTTTATTCGTTTTTTACAAAATTGCGTTTTTCATTTCTAACCGAAATAATTATTACTGACGCGATTCATTACGGTAATGATACACTCTATATCTGATTCTTGGCCGGTGTCGCATATTTAATAATTACTTTGAGTTGGCTAGAATGCGCAAACAGCCGGTTTTTTTCTATAATTCACCGACAATTAGCAATTTCACCAACCAATTTGTAGCGAACACGCAACTGGTGTATAATTTCTTTCATTATCGCGTAGTGTAATTGAAATGCAAACGTGCCGTGGACCAGGTAATACTTTGTCGTCATCTTGCATCAATAATTTAATCATACTTAATTGCAATTATATATTTCAAACTCAAGCAAAATCAGCACAAGAAAGACATTTATGAACGCAACGCGTGCTGGTTTTTATGCGCCTTTTATTTATGGAAATGAGAGAGTTCAAATCAATTCAACGTTAATGCAAATGCGAATTGCACTGCAGTTATCTTATTTTTAGTCATTAATTTACGCTAGGTCAGTCCAAACTTGTATTTTCATATGTTGTTAACTAATACTATAATGAATGGTCATCTTAGGTTGTTTTTTTCAATTAAAAATATGACCTTGTAATCATTTCACGAATAATAACTCAATATTTGGTCGAATAAATTATGTTTTTCTGAAGGTAATTTTTTAAATAAATACATTTTATCATAGGGAAACAGTGCACGATGTGTGATGCGAAACATAGAACTACCTTCAGATTCATGGGCCCTGCAACCTTGTAAATGGGGAATGGACTACGATCGTTCTATTTTTGAAACAAATATCATCAGTGAATGGAATTTGGTATGCGGAAAGGAACATTTTGTAGACTTGACCCAATCAATGTTAATGTTTGGGATTCTTGTTGGTATGACATAAAACATGTTTTAATCTCATTAATATTGTTAAAATAAAAATAACTTTATAGGTAGTGCAGTTTTTGGAACATTAGCAGATAAATTTGGCCGTAAAATCATCCTTATGATTTGTATCGTCATGCAAGCTTTTTGTGGTTTAGTATCTGCATGGTCCCCATGGATAAGTATATTTCTAGCACTCAGATTCTTCATGGCGATGGCCAATGGGGGTACAATGATTGTTTCCTTTGTAATCTGTATGGAAATTGTCGGTGGAAAATGGCGTCGAATTGTTCCGATTTTATATCAAATTCCTTTCGGACTAGGCAATACTATAATGGCTTTAGTTGCTTACTATTTCCGGACTTGGAGAGAATTTCAAATTACGTTATCACTTATGAGTGGAATCTTTATAGTTTACGCATGGTAATATTATAAATATTTATTTATTGTTTTTTCTTCTAATAAAATATGTTTAGGATAATTCCTGAATCGCCACGCTGGTTACTAGCAATGGACAGACGAAAAGAAGCTTGTGAAATTTTAGAAAAAGCCGCTGAGATGAACAATATTGATGTAATGCGGGTCCGCAGCAGATTTTTAGAAACTAGAAGATTTAAAAACCAGAATCCACTCCTGGATTTGCTGATTTAGTAAGAACACCAACATTAAGACAACGCACTTTTATTCTCACATCAAGTTGGTAAGAATAGTACTTATTTAGTGCCACTTACTGCGTATTAATATGTATGAAATTTTCTCTATTTAATAGGTTTATGAGCGGATTGACATTATATGGCTTTACGCAATACTTGGGCCACCTCGGTTCCAACATCTATTTCAACGTCTCGGTCGGTGGTTTAATCATTATACCCGGCACATTGCTCTGCGTTTTTATAATCAGCAAATGCGGACGCAAGTGGACAATTCTCTGCACCAATTTATTCATTTCTGCGTGTTTTATTTCGATTCTACTCATTCCAGCACAATCTTTTCAAAATGACTGGCCTAGGGTCATATTTGCTGCTTTGGGCGTGTTCGGACTATCGGTAAGGCAAAATTCTAAAATAAGACATAAATAACATTAACAATTTATAATTTAAGGTTGCAACACCAACTTTATATTTGTTCACCGGCGAGTTGTATCCAACTGTAATTAGAAACGTCGGAGTTGGCGCCTGTATTACCTTCTCGAGGGTGGGAAGTATGATTTCACCGTTTGTTGTATCCATGGGACAGTCAGTTCCGTTTTTACCGTTGATAATACTTGCAATTTGTGCTGCCATGCAAAGTATATTGATTTTACCATTGCCGGATTCTGGAAATACTTTGGCCGATACAATTAGTGATGTTGAAATGTGGTAAATATTCAATTATAATTTAATTTGGCATATTATGAACAATATTTAAATTTATAGCGAAACTGGAAATTGTTCTCGGAAAGATTCCCATGACGATTGTCTCTATGGTGCGGTTCCAGATGAAAATCCCATTATGCAGTAAATTTTAAAAATCAAACAGATCTTTTTAATAGTATTTAAGAGTGATTGACTTGAACAATTTTTCTACTGTTTTGAAACCAAATTGAAGTATTTTATATCATTTTAAGACTTAACTTAGAATTTAAGAAACGTATGTATAAATATTAGTTACTTAGGTATTTTATATTTAAAACCACGCATAAAAATTAATGCCTAGATAGATTGTTAGTTATTACTAATAACCCATGTTAAACTATCACAATCTTGACTTTGACACTGATTTTCTTAGCCTAAATATATATTTTATATTTCAAATAGTAATACAGATTTGTCTAGTTAAAAGCGGTTTAAAATGCTTATCAAATGCATAAAATCACCGGACCTTCTCTCTCAATGCGTTAGCTGCCATGCCTACTCAACTGAAGTTACTTAAGTCGCGTGTATAAAAGAAGAACGCACAGATTAGATGATTTAGTGCCCGTCGCAACCGCGAGCGTAATCATTGTGTACTTTTTTTTATTCCTCGTGCGGTCATCTCACTTTGCAACAAATTTGGTTACAATTAGTTTGTGTTGGTTCAATGTAGTTCCGTGCGGTCACTTACGACATATTATGCTATCAGTCCGATGACGTTTTGCGGACTATTATTAATGCCCACACTGGACGCAAATAGCCATGAATAAAAGTCAATAAACGAATAAAAAGACGAAAGTGTTATCTGCTTCACTTCATTCAGCGTCACTCGTCGTAGGTTGCAAAGGTGTAAAATTGAGATAATAAATCTCACATGATACACTGATAAGTAAACAAGCGTTCGGAAAACAATATACAAATAAATAATAATCTGACGATATAGTGACTGGTTGCATTTAAAAGTTCATTACAATATGAAGTTAATTGTGTGTTGCTTGAGTATTGTATTGGTGGTGCATTCAACGTTGCAGTCATCATCTCTGGAACTAGTTCAAGTTGTAAGTATAATTAAAATAGATTAAATCATTTTAATCTATTAAGTGGCTGTGATAGTTTTTTAGGCATGGATCAAGAACTCCTGAATTAAAGGATACTTATCCTATGGATCCGTATACCGCTAAAGATTTTATGCCAATGGGTTGGGGACAATTAACAAATGTAATTAAAATTAATTAATGTAAAAACGTATCGCGTGCGAGGAAACCAAAACTTTACTTTTTTTTCATGTTCAATGTGCACTCACAGCTATAATCAAATTCGATTCAAACCTAATTATTAATTAGTTATAATTTATTACTTAGCGCAAGTTTGACCATGATTTTGCAAATTTAACATTTAATGTGTGTTTGATTTTTAAGGACGGCAAACGTCGTGCGTACAAATTAGGTCAACTGCTCCGTACCCGTTATGATACTTTACTTGGTGATATTTACACGCCTGGTTTGGCTTATACTCAATCTACAGATTTTGACCGAACTAAAATGAGTGCCCTTCTTGTGCTAGCCGGATTGTTTCAACCATCCAGTGCACAAAAATGGAATAACGATTTGGCGTGGATTCCTATTCCATATCATGTTGAAAAAGCCGAAAATGACTTTGTAACTATAAATAATTTAAATAATTTTTCTATGAACTTACAAATGGTTAGTTTTTAAGACGTCCAACACACTACTGCCCGCAATATGTACAAGAACTAAATCAAGTGCTTGAAACTGACCCAAGAATCATGAAAATATTATCAGAAAACCAACAAGTGTTAAATTACATTTCGAAGAATACAGATAAACCAATGGTGACCTTGATGGACGTGTTTCGGCTCTATCAAACACTAAATGCTGAAGAGGCATTGAACATGACCTTGCCGAAATGGACTGAATCGGTATATCCGCGCAAAATTCATGACTTGGCAGGTCGTCAATGCTACTTCGAAAACTCCAATCAGATCTTGAAACGACTCAATGGAGGTAATCACTTTCACTTTGCAACACAAACATAAACATAAACAACATGATACTGTTTTATACATTTTATTCATTTAGTAAATCGTGAAAAACATTTAATTGTACAAATTAAAGGTCGCAGCTTGAGTCATGTGATTAACAACATGAGCGTAAAGATGATAAACGTCACGGCGGGCGCAAAAATCCATTTGTATTCGGGTCACGAGAATAACGTCGTCAATATCCTCAGCGCACTGGACGTTTTCGAGCCGCACGTGCCGAAATACAGCGCTGCTGTTATCATAGAACTGCACAATTTCAAATCCAAGGAGATGGATGATTATAAAGTTAGAGTGAGTTGCAACGTTGTTTAGAAAGGTTATAAAATATGTTAAGAAATGTTTATTTTATACAGATATTATACGTCCGTGACGTTGACGCTAAGTACGAACCGGAAGTGAAAGTAATTGATAACTGCGAAGCGTTCTGCCCGTATCAACGCTTCGTGGATATCACGCGACCAAAAGTTCCAATCAACTACACAGAGGAATGTCACTCGAGTGTACAGCTGGATTGAAGTTGTTGTTGAGAAATTTCCGTTCAGTTTCTTGATGATAGGCTTATCGTATTGTTGTGTTCATACTGCTGGTTCAAAGTTAGAAAATATTTATTTATATAATCATAACGTATGTGTAAAGTTAATTTATTTAGTATATTTACGGATGTAATTTGAAATACGTTATGAACATTGCTTTTTGACCAATCGTGTACTGGTGATAAGAAATGAATTGCCCAAACGTAATTTATTAGTCACATATTAACGATGTTATCTTCACAAATTAAAAATATAATTAATCTGAAATTATAGTTCATATTGTTTAATATCATGATTACTATTCATGAATATCCATTCCAGTGAACAAGGACCATCTAAAAAATTAATTAGGTATTTATGTATTTATCACACAATTGTTTTTATAATTACCCATTGTTGCCCAAGGATCAAGATTTTTATCAAACTGTGTTCTGACTGATTTTAACGCATGTTTGATTGCCAGTGGGACAGAAAACGCCAAACAAAATGGTGGCTCACTAGTTGCTATAAATAATTTACATTAATTACGACTTAGAATATTGATATTAACTAATATCATACCTTTGTTTTTAAACGGAGTTAAAGGATTTGGTATTCCGTCTGGAAATTTCACTCTCATATCAACTGGTATATCTTTCACTCCAGGAATTTTATAATTCCAAGTATTGTTTGTTTTCAATGCACCTTTATTATCATAGATTAGTTCTTCACTCGTCCAATGACCTAACCCCATCATGTAAGCCCCTTCTACTTGTCCAATATCTATAAAAGGATTTAAAGAGTCGCCCGTGTCTTCAACTAAATCAGCCCTTTGAACGATAATTTGACCAGTCAAAACATCCAACTCTATTTCACTGACACTCGCTCCATAAACTACGTATATTGTTGGATTAGTTTGGTCATGAGCATAAATTGCATTTTCAGTGAGAGATAACCCATTTGCATGTGCATTCTGTACCCTTTTAAGCCACGGCGAATCAGAAGGAAGTTTATTGTCAGTTGCTGCTTGGTTAATACGTGTGATCAAGCTGGTACATGCTGTATTCAAAGCCATGCAGATAGATTCCGTAGTAACTGATCCCGCGGTGACAAAATTATTGGGAGTCGTAAAATTGTTAGAAGGCAATACACTGACCATATTAAAATCAATTCCCAGAACATAGGCAACAACTTGAGCTGCTTTAGTGTTTATACCTTGACCAATTTCAATCCCTCCATGTGTAATGGCTACGGTACCATCAGATTGGTAGATTGAAACTTGTGCAAAGTAAGGAGATAGTCCTGTTAGGGCATATGCCATTGGTACTAAGGAAATACCTTTTTTCCTCCAAATGTTTTCCTAAAAATACATAATTTTAATATGTAAGTGATTTGGTACTTAATTTTTAAATTATACCTGATTAAATTTTTCTATTGCAGATCTTCGTTTTCTATAGTCCGACCATTCTAAAGTATCATTAATGATTTTCTTTAAAAGATTGTCATTCTTTAAGTTAGCCAATCTAACATCAATTGGGTCTTTATCCAATTTACAAGCAATATGATCCATGATAGTCTCAATAATAGCACTACCTTCCATATAACCAGGACTTCTCATGTAAGTTGCTGCTGAATTATCTGTTTTAACAATGTCCAATTCAGTATAGAACGTGTCCGTAACATAAGGACCTTCATATAACTCAACCATAAACTCTTCTATTGCAGAGTTTCTGTACACACCGGTATTACAATACAAATTAGTATTTAGGGACCCAAAAACTCCATTCTTGTCCACACCCACATTATAAGTTGATCTTATGGAGTGTCTTTTGCCTATAATGTTCATATTTGCTTCTAGGGACATGAATAACTTGACTGGTTTTCTTAGTTTGATGGCTGCTAGTGTAGCAGCACATGCCATCCAATTTGCTCGAGTTACTTTACCACCAAAACTACCTCCTACCCATTTAACTTCAACGTTGATTTTATGAGCTGGTATGTTCATTGACCTTGAAACTGATGATTGCACAGAGTTTATCCATTGTGTGCCAATGTGAATCTTTATGTTGCCATTATCTCCAGGATTCACAGAAGCCACTTGTAATTCCATGTGATTGTGGTATTGAGGTAAAGATTCAAACACTCCCTCAAATTTTATAGGAGCATCATCTATAATTTATATTTTTATAGAAAAACTGAATTATTTTTAGTTAACGTGTAATACTTTGATTTTTTGGCATCCAGGTGTTGAAGTGTTTTATTCGATCAGGATGTTTAAGTGCGTCTGTAGTCGTAAGCACTGGTTCTGTTTTAGTAGAATCAAAAGTAACTTTAACCAATTTTGATGCAGCATCAGCAATTTCTTGAGAATTTGCGACAATTATACCAACTGGTTGAAAATAATATTTTAGTTTATCACCGATTCCTAAAAATATTTCTTCATCATCGAATTCTAGTACTTTGTTTGGAATCGTAAATGAATTTACTCCAGGAACGTCAGCAGCTTGGAAGAAACCTTCAACTCCTTCTAGTTTCTAAAAAATTTAAATAATACAACAAAAATAATAAATGCATGATATCATACCAATGCTGTTGATGCATCAATTAATTTCAGAACTGATCCTGGTACTGCTTTACCCTGAACAAAAACAGCAAAACATTGACCATAATTATCAGCTTCATCAGTTACATATTTTAATTCTCCAGATGTCTGGGCTGCGGCTTCTATTTTATGAATTGGTTCCCCCACCGGATACATAGATTCCTTCGTTTTATAATCCTGGACACCAGTTGAAACTGAAGGTCTGACTAGTTTTGATGCTCCAGATTTATTGCGCGGTGAAATTAGTTCATTTGGAGTAATGCTCAAAACAAACTTGTAAAATAAGCTTATGCAGAGTTTTCTCCGAAATTCTGGAGAAGGATCTGGCATAGTATTGTCCGGCTTGATTTCAGATTGCAATTTGGCGAAGAAACTTTGTAAATTCTTGTTGTCAAAAAGGACTTTTCCTTTGATCAATTTTTCTGTTTTACTAGCATGTATAAATGTTGAATTCACACCTCCAAATACAATTGTACATTTATCCACAACATTCTTTTTAAATTTAATTAAAAACCCCGCGTTTATGATGGCGTGAGCGTTCTGTGCTCGTTTCATAATTTTGTAAGAATCAAATTGATAATTATTATCCAATGTTGGAATTTCAATGCTTCTGATAATCTTTTTATTCATGTCAAAATCAAGAAACTCACTGGGCGAAATTTTGCGTAGACGTCTACCATTGTCTATAACTAAAACCGCATCAATTGTTTCCAACAACAGAAAAATGTCGGACGGAAATTCATTGTATGTATACTTCATTGCTAGGTTACCAGCAAGGGTACCAATCTGTAATTTTAAACAATTATAAAATGTTTTAATATTGTAATATTCTTAAAAAATGTACTAACATTTCTAACTGGCACATGCGCAACAACATCCAAATGTGTTGCAACTTTAGCCAGATGTTTGAAACCATCATCAATCTCAGAAACTTTTTGGCATATTTGCATTGTCTCACTTAGCGTCATGTTACCACCTAAGATTAACTTTGAAGTATTATGAGAGTAGCCTTGAAGCTCTTTTACTCCCGAAATATCAATAAAATAATCACGATTTGATATATCTTTATAAACACCTTTTGCGGTATTACCAGATACAAGTTGGTACGTTCTTCTTGAATTCCTTCTGAATATTGCGAAAATATCTTTAATTTTAGATACTTTATACCAGTTATCTGCCGAAGTAACGTTATTATTTACGTGATTATGGTTTGTCATTATAATTGAAGGTATTTCGTCGTTCATTGAAAATTCCAAGCATTTTTTGGAACAATTTTCGTTGTTAGAACAACGCTTGAGGTCTTCAATATCGCGTACAATGCCTAAAATACTTTCATCGGCATCAGTTGCCATTGATTTGAAAGCTGATAAAATTGGTCTATAACCAGTACATCTGCATAGATTTCCTCCAAAGGAATTTTCTATTTGATGCATTTTAGTTACACCAGATTCTTTCAGAGAGTACATGTTCATCACCATACCAGGAGTGCAGAACCCACACTGAGTGGCATTAAATTGGACCACTTTCTCTTGAATTTCATTGTAACCGTCGATGCGGTTTCCCAAACCTTCTACAGTAGTGATTTCCCATCCTTCTACCATTAAAATCGTAACTAAACACTTAAATAAGGAAAAATTGCATTAATGAAACAAAAGTTTTTGTATAGAAAATGTTACCGAATTAATTGCTTTTGTTTCTTTTGTATTTGTATTTAAGTTTGTGAAAGTAGCCGATACGATGCAAGCACCACAACCGCCTTCCATGCACATGTATTTTGTTCCTGTAAGATGTAAATTCTTCCGAAGGTATTCATTAAGAGTTGTTTTAGGAGTAATCGTAGTTGTGTCCACTTAAATTATAAAAGCATTTATATAATACTGGACGAAAATATATTTTTATTATTACCTGTTATTTTAGTGCCATTTAAGAAAAATATTATTTTATTTGTTCTAAAAATTAAAACACAATTTATTATGATATAATATAAGTTTTAAAAAAAAGTAATCACTCCTGAAATTTCCAAGGACCAAAATTATTTTCAACATCATTGTTATAGTCGCTTTCGCTGCCTTCTTCACTGCTCATCTTGACTTGAATTACACCAAAATGTGCAAATCAAGTTATATTTATTGGCGGACATATTGCCTTATCGTTTTGTGTAATTAAGTTCAGACATTTTTTTATAATAATGGTTGGTAAATATGCCATAATTACATAAGAATTTTTAAATTATATTATAGATTTCGTAACATGACATATCAACATGCAATGAGAAATATTTTTATGTAAACACATTTCTGAAATCTAAATTCCAAAGTAGAAAAAAATCGGCCCTACAAAGTTGTTTGTTTGTCAATTGATACCTTACTAGCACTGCCTCATGTTAGAACTGAGTTACACTATGCTCCAAAATATAATAAATCTATGTAATAGAAACAAGATTAAAAATAATGTAAAAGTATAACGTAAGTTTAGATATAATTTCATGCATCCATAAAAAAAAATTCTACTTCGATAGTAACACAATTCGGTAACAAACAATCAAAGAATGTCTACATAACTTTATCAATTCCAACGTTGTCCAGCGGTTTCACTTTTTCGTGTTCATGTTCAATAACCTTGGAATAATTGTAATATTTAAATACACGTGCCCAATATTACCACATAATCACTTAATTAATCTATTCTATTTTGTACAATTATTTTTAAATTGGGGTATTATCATTACTAGATTATTAAATGAATAATAACAACTCAGTTCGGCCAGAAATAAAGAAAATGGTTTGTTAATAATTATCATACGTATAACTAGCTTTCAGCTCTATTATATTACTTCAATTTGCTTAATTTTATAATTACAGTGTATACTGTGTGATATCATGATTAGAGTTCATAAAAATCCATTCCACCGAACATGGTCCTTCTAAAAATGAAAAATTTTGTTTCAACATATTTTAGTAGAAAATAAAAAGTGCTTACCCATTGTTGCCCAAGGGTCAATATTTGGAGCAAACTGTGTTCTAACTGACTGCAATGCATGTTTAATGGCCAATGGAACAGAAAATGCCAAACAAAATGGCGGTTCACTGGTTGCTGTAAGTATTGAAGTAAAACTGCATATAAAAAAGAAAAGTTAAATATATGTTTACCTTTATTCTTAAAAGGAGTCAACGGATTAGGTATGCCATCCGGAAGTTTGATTCTCATATCAACCGGAATATCTTTTGCTCCAGGAATTTTGTAATTCCATGTATTGTTTGTTGTTAGCTTGCCGTCATCATTATATATAATTTCTTCACTCGTCCAATGGCCCACACCTGTTACATAAGCACCTTCTACCTGTCCAATATCAATAAAAGGATTTAAAGAGTCACCCGTATCTTCAACAAGATCAGCTCTCTGTATAATAATTTGACCTGTCAACACATCCAATTCAATTTCACTGACACCTGCTCCATAAACTACATAAAACGTGGGATTGGTTTGATCATGTGAGTAACATGCATTCTCGCTGAGTGATAAACCACTGTTGTATGTATTTTGTATTTTTTCGAGCCATGTAGCATCAGGTGAAAGATTAGCAGCAGTGGCAGCCTGATTAATATTGGCTAATAAAGTGGTACAGGCTGCTTTGACCGCCATACATATTGACTCTGAAGTTACCGACCCGCCAGTAGAAAAATTATTGGGAGCAATGAAATTGTTAGAAGGCCAGATATTGATCATACTCATATCTATGCCTAGAAGATATGCAACCACTTGTGCTACTTTAGTGTTGATGCCTTGACCAATTTCAGTACCTCCGTGAGCGATAGCAACCGTACCATCTGCTATAAAGATTGATACTTGTGCATAATACGGAGTATAGCCAGTAAGAGCATAAGACATTGGTACTAAGGCAATCCCTTTTTTTCTCCAAATATTTTCCTCATTAAATTTATCTATTGTAGATTTACGATTTCTATAATCCGAAAAGTCTAAAGCGTCATTAATAATTTTCTTCAATAAATCATTATCTTTTAAGTTAGCCAATCTAACATCAACAGGATCTTTGTTTGTGTTCAGAGCAATATGATCCATAATAGTCTCAATAATAGCACTACCTTCCATATAACCAGGACTTCTCATGTAAGTCGCTGCTGGAGTATCGGTTTTGACAATATCTACCTCAGTGTAAAACGTATCCGTCACATAGGGGCCTGCATATACTTCATACAAGAACTCTTCTATTGCTGCATTCTTATAAAGTCCTGTGTTGCTATAGAGATTATTGTTTACGTAGCCAAAAATGCCATCATTATCAACTCCAACTTCATAGGAGGACCTTATTGAATGTCTTTTGCCAATTATGTTCATATTTGCTTCCAAGTTCATAAAACATTTAACTGGCTTCCTTAGTTTGATTGCTGCCAATGTTGCTGCACATGCTAACAGACTTGCTCTGTTAATTTTACCACCATAACTTCCACCTATTCGTTTAATAATGACACTGATTTTATGAGCTGGTATGTTCATAGACCTAGCTATTGATGATTGCACCACACTCATCCATTGGGTACCTACATGAATTGTATAATCACCATTGTCTTCTGGATGAACTGAAGCTACTTGAAGTTCCATATAGTTATGATATTGTGGTAATGACTCAAAAACGCCTTTAAATTTTACGGGAACCTCGGTATCTAAAAAGTATTCTTAGAATAACCAGGTTTATTTCTAAAAAATATGCTTTACTTTGACTTTTTGGCATCCAAGTATTAAAATGTTTTATACGTTCAGGATGATCAAGTGCTTCGCTGGTGGTAAGTACAGGTAGTTCCGTAGCAGGCTCATAGCTAACTTTTACTAACTTGGCTGCTGCTTCAGCAATACTTTGAGATCGTGCGACTATAACACCAACTGGTTGAAAATAATATTTTAGTTTATGGCCGATAGCAGGAAATATTTCTTCATCGTCCAAATCGTAAGCTGCTATTGGAATCGTAAATGAGTTAACACCTGGAATGTCACTAGCTTGGAAGAAACCCTCTACTCCATCCATATTCTGCAAAAATAAGAGTAGAAGAAGAGTAGTAGTCAAATATAATAAAAATTAATTAATTACCAAAGCTTTATTAGCATTGATTGATTTTAAAATTGATCCAGGTGACGCTTTACCCTCAACAAAAACAGCAAAGCACTGATTGTAAATATCTGCTTGGTCTGTAATATACTTTGCTTCCCCGGAAGCTTGATCTGCTGCCTCCAATTTATGAATAGGTTCTCCAACCGGATACATAGATGTGTTTGTTTTATAATCCTGAACACCAGTTGAAACAGGAGGTCTGAGTAGTTTTTCCGCACCAGTTTTGTACTTTTCTGAGATAGCCTCTATAGGTGCAATACCCAAAATATATTTATAGAACAAACTCACACATAATTGTTTTCTAAATTCTGGTGAGGGTTGTGGTAACTTATCATCCGGTTGGACTTCAGACAATAATTTCGCAAAAAACTTTTGCATGTTGCTATTATTAAAGAGATTTTTACCTTGAATCAGATATTCGGTTTGACACGCATGAACAAAATGATTATTAACACCGCCAAACACAATTGTGCATTCATCAACAAAATTGTTTGTAAATTTAAAGAGAAAACCTGCGTTGATTATAGCATGGGCATTCTGTGCTCTCTTCATAATTTTGTACGACTCAAATCGGTAAGAGTAATCTAGTGGTGGAATCTCAATGCTCCTAATAATTTTCTGGTTCATGTCAAAATCCAGATACTCACTGGGAGACATTTTGCGTTGACGTCGGCTATCGTCTATAACCAAAATTGCACCTATGGTTTCTAATAACAGGAAAATATCAGATGGAAAGTCTCTGTAAGTGTGCTTGATACTTAGATTGCCAGCAATAGTTCCAATCTGCGAAATAAATATTTTATTCCAGATTTATGTGACTTTAAAATAATAGCTTACATTTCTAACTGGCAAATTTGCTACAAGATCAATGTGAAGAGCAACTTTTTGCAAATAATTAAAATCATCATCCATTTCAGAAACTTGTTGACAAACAGTTATGGTTTCCTGCAAAGTAATATTGCCACCCAGTACTAAATCTGATGTGTTGTGAGAATAGCCTTGCAGTTCTGCTACACTAGAGATATCGATAAAATAGTCCTTGTTTGACATATCTCGGTATACACCTTTTGCTGTATTACCAGCCACAAGTTGATATGTGCTTCCTGAATTCTTGTTGAATATTGAAAAAATATCTTTAATTTTAGATACTTTGTACCAGTTGTCTGCAATTTCAACTCCAACGGTATTAGTCGCCATGATTGTAGGTACGTTACAACAAACAGGCCTTTGTGAGGCATTGCTTTTCTGGCATGAATTTTTCTTGGAACAAAGTTGCAAATCTTCTATATCAGGAACAATTCCTAACAACATCTTATCCGAATCATTTGCCATTGATTTGAAAGCTGACAAAATTGGTCTATAGCCTGTGCATCTACATAAATTTCCACCAAAAGAGTTTTCAATTTGAGCCATTTTGGTTACACCAGATTCTTTCAGAGCATACATGTTCATCACCATACCAGGAGTACATAAACCGCACTGAGTGGCATTAAATTGAACAATTTTCTGTTGAATTTCATTGTAACTGTCGGCACGATTGCCAATGCCTTCAACAGTTGTGATTTCCCAACCAGCTATCATCAGAACAGTAACTAGGCACTAGAATGAATATCTTATATTAAAATATAAGCCTAATAAGAGCTTTTGACCTTTTACCGAATTGACAGCTTTAGTTTCTTTGGTATTAGATTTATGATTCGTGAAAGTAGCAGCCACCACACAAGCACCACATCCTCCCTCCAAACACATGTACTTAGTTCCGGTGTGATTTAAATTCTTACGGAGATATTCATTAAGCGTGGTTTTAGGAGTAATCGTTGTTGTATCCACTAAGAAAATAAATTAAAATCTATTTGTAAGAAAACTATTAAATAGTACATACCAGTGATTTTAGTTCCATTCAGAAGAAATTCTAGTTTATTAGTTCTGCAACTTAAGGAAAAAACTGATAAATTTATACTATATAAATTAAATTTAAAAATTCGTACTTCTGATATTTCCCATCATCTTCTAAATTGATTTCGCCTTGTCCGCTCATCTTAACGTTTGGAAATATACTGCAATAACATCCAGCGTAATATTTTTGTTTAAATCTTTTGTTGTGGAATATTTCCATCCCATAGGTATTATGATATCCATGAGCAAATTTGCATAAATAATATTAAAAGTACAAAAACAATATAATAATTAGAGACCGACCGAAATTTCGGTTTCGGTTTCGGCCAGTTTCGGCCAAGAATTCTAGCTTCGGTTTCAGTTTCGGTTTCGGCAAAAATTGGCAGAAAATTCGGCTAACTTCGCAGCTAATGGCGGTCGCTCCTTGCCATCTCAGTTCGCACATAGAAAATTAAATTAATATTATATTAAGTATCAAGTGACTAAACGGAGACTTTACTCACGAGATTGATTTTGTGTCTAAAAAATGTGGAAAAACTGGCGTTTTATAGGTAGAAGTAGAAAATTATATTTATGTAAGTTACAGTTTCGGTTTCGGTTTCGGTTTCGGCCGAAACTGGGGGCAGGGCCGAAATTTCGGCTTCGGTTTCGGTTTCGGCTAAAATACAGTTTCGGTCGGTCTCTAATAATAATCGACAGTCGGATTAAAACGATTAAAAGGCTTGGTAAGCAATATTTTTTACTAACACATTATTTATTTAACTTTATAAATAAATCAAACAATTAAAAAATTTAAAACTTGCAATATATAAACATAATAATCTAATATAAATACAAGTAAAATCGTTTTAATTTATAAATAACACCAGTTTCTAAAATTACTGAACATTGCTTATAATTATTAAATGCTTCTAAATTCTTCACATTATTTTCATTTCTTTTTTGTCATTAGAATATTTTTATAATCTTCATAATTTTCTTAAATTTTTATATTTCTTTGTCTTTCTTGTTCAAGTTGTATCTTGTCGTTATATAATATCTTATTTGCATCATTATATCAATTTAATATTCATCTAAAAACACTAGAAACTTTCGTACATTATTCTCGATTTCACACGAACGACTTCGCATTCTTTCATCGATATATCTCATACATGTTAACGTGTTTTAATGTATTCTTAATGTATCGTATCATTATATAAGAATCTCGAATGTGTTAGTCATTAGTTTTTATTAATCTGGTTTTGTCTATACACACATAAATTTACATTCATTTACTTTTTACGGGGAAATTATTCTCATCTTTTTGCGTCGATTAATAAATTGTATCCATGGGTTTACTCTGCTTTAGATTATTCTTTAATTTATATTTATTCGTTTATATTTAGCCATTTTCTGTTTTACTTTTTAACATTCATTGAATTAGATATTTTCTTTACTTTAACATCTTCTTACGTTATTACATTTTACATTAATTCTGCTTAGGATTTTTCTTCTTTTTGGATTGGGTTAATTTATGATTTCCATTTTACGATATCAGTTCTATTTGGAATGTGACTTCTACTGGAACGCAAAAATTATTTATTGTATTTGTCGTCTTTCAAATACATGCAATGTTTGCGCGTTGTGTTGTTGTCGAGACTTAACATTTATTTAATCTATCTGATATCTTTATATATAATGGCACTACAGTTACTCATTAAGATTTACTTAACATTTCCACCTTATCTTGTTTTTGTTTATTTTTTTTAACATTTATATCTCATATAATTTTCATGAAAAAGCATCGTCACCATAATAAATCATTAATATTTATATTCGGCTCATATTGCTGACTCAATGATATTTTTGAAATGAGATATAAACGTTCAGACTAAATTTGTATTCCAGTAAATACATAAAATTGGAGACGCATCAACATTGTTATTAATAATAATAATGTTGTTATTATCATATCCATTATATTGCATTTGTGAAACTTAGTATTCTCAAGCCATTATTTTTGTTATAATAATGCAATATTCTTTTACACAAAATACGTGGACAATGCCAAAAATGAGTTGGTTCCTCGCGTAAAATAATTATCATCAACATCGTGTCAAATTTCAATATACCTTTAAAGTTCTCTTCTAGTAATACTAAGATATCTTCATTTTTCCGCGATGAATGTGTTTTTATTTTCTCGAAACGTTCTAAAATTTTATATTCGCAAATTTTATAAAAATACGTTCTTCTGTTATTACGTTTACAATGTTTTATTAATTTTACAGTTGTTGTTTCTTGTTGCATCGCAAAACTTACGTACGCATCTGATGCAAATATTGAGTCAATAATGAAGCAAATTGAGTTCAATTTTCTTTCAATAAAAGTAAAAAATTATTTATTTGAGCAATAATCTTGTTGTGTCACACAAATCATTGTGTGTACTTCTTGTATATATGTGTTGGTTTTTATTCAATATACAATACGTCGAAATATATTTATACAACGCGTTCGTCGATCATTGATCATATATTAATAGTATTTTAATCATATAAAAATGCATTTAATGTCTTCTTAAATATTTCTTTCTATATCATCTTGCATTGTATCCCCATCGACTGGTTAAATATAATTTGAACAAGATTTGTATATATTTGCCATCGACTGTTGGTTAATTTTTCCTAATTAATTTTTTTATTTAATTATTACTCATAAGATATTCAGTCTCAGTCCACTGCAATCCATTTATTCTGGCTGTAATCCAATTACACATTCACTTGACTCGGTTGAAGAGATTTGTGTTTCGTTTTGCATTCGTTTGCGCTTAATTAATTTATTGTGGAGGTGGACATCGCAACACTGTCGTGGTTGCGAACTCTGAAAACTTCTTATCGATGGGTATACGGTCATCGTACAGCGATGGCGCTTGTAGAATGATACCAGCCGTGCCTACGAGCACAGCTAGTGTGAATATCCATAAAAATAGCCGGTCCAAGACCATTGCGACGTATTTCCAATCTTCCTTTACCTACAATTTGAGTAGTTTAATAAATGTTTCAGAAATATGTGTTTCATGTTACTTTTGTTGAATCTTCGAGCATTTTTGTGTGCTCTGCAATAAAGCGCACACAGAAGCAGGACTTGTGTATCTCTGGCGGGCATCTTGAATGTGAAAACGCAGGATTGCGCAACACGGGCGATTTGATTCCGGATTCGTCCAGTCCAGAAACTGTCAGATCCTCGCTTTCGCTTGGCGGAATTGCGATCGGCCCGTGGATTTGACAACTGCCGCCGAATGGACCGCTGAGGCCCGGAAAAGCTCTGCAATTTCACCGGACATCATGTTAGCGACAAGAAAATGATAATATTGGCTTAAGACGTTCCACTAAAGCAAAAACATGACAAAGAAAACAGTCGGAGCACTTTCTCTACAGCGTACAGTTGCAAGAAACAAAGTTTACATTAAGCTTGTTTGTTCGAACGACTGCACGTGAAAAAACATTAGTTCTGACCGAAGAAATCCAGCCGGGAGCACGTTCAAGACCGGAAGTAGACTCCAAGGTACAATAAACAACGCTGTGAGCGCAAACCCGGGAAGAACAACACGAAACTTTCATGATGCTCTAGACGTCCTAGAACATGTTCTAGTGACGTGTGGTGAAAGTTTTGAGGTGCGGTTAAACGGTACAACTTTTTTTAAAAAGAACATCTCTAAGAAACGACTGCGACTATAGTTAAAAAATAACTAAACATTTGAATTTAAATTGAATTTAAAATAAATATTTTAGCTTTTAGAGATAAGTGAAGAAGATAAGAAAAAAACGGCAAATAGAGAGTAATAAATGTAGAACTTACCCTGGAGACATATCGTCTTTGGACGGCGTCCGACTGGGAAATCGTCGGGGGCTGCAATCGTCTGACGTTTGCACGTTTCCTCGATACGGGTACATGCACGTGGAAAATTGACGGCCACGCATCATCAAACGGCCGGAGACATACCGACTGTGGACAAAACAACAATTAAGAAGTTATGAATAAAAGTCTCAATCGATTGTGTTGTCACAAAGTTGTGTTTCCATCCAATTCCTACAATGCTTCAATGCTGCCAGCTTTCAACGCCTTTTAATATTTATTTATTTCTCCTTTGCCTTTTTTCAACGTCGGCTGCCTTTACGGCTGTTTCCTGCTTTCATCATTCTTATTCCTCACTCCTGTGTGCATGACATTCGCACTTTGCATGCGAAGCGATCGAGAAAATCGCCGACCCAAAACTTCAAACTCTCACCCGAATGTCTGAAATTGTGGCCGGTGCCGAAAAGAGATAAATGAAAATTCTAACCACGTGCCACTCTAACCATCGATTGGGACGCGGCCGAGCCGAAGACACCGAAGAAGACGTCGCAATTTGCGAGTTGGGTCGTTTATTAATGAAGCGTGCGGAGGCGGCTTACCTGTTTGTTTCGAACATGTACTGCGGCCGTCGCATCACCAGCAAGCGCGGCAGAATGTGGATGAAGACCCGTTTCACCCACGGTGACATTTTGTGCGTTTGCGGTGACCGGAAGTGCACGTTCAGCACAACTACGGTCACGCATATACTGAAAAATATTTAAATATACACATTAAAGTTAAATAAAATGACAAACTTACTTCTGCTTCTTTTCGGGCGGAAATATTTGAGCATAAAGAAATGAATGAAAGTCAAATATTTTGGATGGGAATGTCAATGGAAGAGGAAACGAATTGGACGACAAATGCCAAGAATGTTAAGATAATATTTACATAAAGTTAAAGAGGGATAAGTGGTTCGGTTGCCAGTGTTGAAAATACATCAAGTCGCTAGAGGCTGACAAAGAAAATGTTTAAAAAGACTTTTCTGAATGGTTAGAACTACAAATACTGAGTGTTACTTACCTTATTGATACTAATATCATTGCAAATATCAGGTACTTTCCAAGCAAAGGTACGACCAGTGAAGTCGGCGGAATAATTTCGACAACCAGCAGAAAGAACACGTGGAGACTAATGAGGATTGAAATCGATAATGTGACCTGCAAGTGAAGGTAATGATTAGATTGATGTGTAATTTATTTTTTGAAAGATAAAAATGGTTTTCATTAAAGTTGGTTGTCCCTTTTTATGTGTGTGTGTTTTTTTAGAATTTTCGATTATGCTGATGCATCGAGATTTGAGCCAACGCTGACGCAAGTATTCCGTCTTCTCGACGATGGAATTTCGCAAGTCGACGGCGCGCCACATCCTTGCCAAGGCGTACAAAAGGACTCGAGCGAAATGGCTGCCGCATTAGCATCGCCATGGCCGGCGTTAAAACATTACAAATTCTGACAATGACAAACGACAACCTCACGTGGTTTTGCCACTCAAAGTCACGCTCTAATGTGAAATCTCAGTGAAAGCTCAAGACGTGCATTCATCAATTTGATTCGTTTATTTCGCAAAATCGGAGTTTAGTAAATAAATCAATGTGTTAAGTGTATTAGAACCTTTTTTAACTTTTTTCTTTTAATGTCCTGCTAGATTATATCAGTGTGAAACTCCTGACCTGCATTTTCAAGTGTTATTGCACTCTGGGCATGGCTTTAACACCGCTTTCCGGCACTTATTTCGCTCTCGCGCCGCCGCCGGCATGCGTAAAGCTCGGTGGCTTGTCGGCGTTGTCGCGCTTCGTGCTTTCGGCCGGCAAAGGGTGCAAATACCCAATCGATAGTGCACCTCGAACACCATCGCGCCCATGCGGTGTCTACCAAACTTTGCCTTACAATTCAGTTGGTAAACAACTCACATTTTATGTCACTACGTCAAATTAATCCAAAAAGCTTTTTTAATCAGGAAAATAGAGTTTTTTTCCGAACGACATTTAAATATCACTTTATTTTATTTTGTATATGCTACTTTTGATGTTTCAATTTTATAATTTGTCAAGGTAAACAGTCAATGAAATTTATAGTTCAGTTGTACGGCGTTATACCATCCAGCAATTTCACAAATTAAAATATGCACTTGCGACAAGCATTTGCGTTTGTGAAAACAATATTCTAAAAAGCTTTCGCATTGTATTAATCATACAAACGCAAAAGAAGCAATTTAACAAATTAAAAACTCAAAAAATCTTTAATATGCAAAACTTGGAGTGTTCTTGATTATAATTGAAAAATAAATACCAAGTTGTTCCTTGGCTTGAATTTTTTGGTGAGGATATTTAATAAATAAAAAAATAAAATCTCAACTCTCATTCATTTTAGGAAGGTTTTCTTAATGTACGAATAAGCTTTTAAGACGTTCCCAACCACGCCTATTGGATGTAACGTCGGAAAGATTACTCTGACTGAGAAATATTTAAGGTATGCCAGTCATGATTCATCTACAAAGTGTAATGAGATAAAACACATCTTACATTTGCTGGTGGATCAAATAACGTGGAAATAGTACACTCTGTATTATTTTGAGTAAGTGAACTTCATTTCCTTATTTTCTTATTTCCGTATTTAAATTAAACCTCCAGTGCGCGTAATTTATACCTACTTTTTTGTATCATCACATTAAACATTTCCTTGTCCCTTTTGAGTTTACGTCTTTTACGAATCTTCTTGAAAGAACATTAATGTAAATGATTTTGGAGAATAATCCTTTAAATTTTAGAATTTAGTAAATATTTATAGCAAAACTCTTTTTATCTTGTGCAATTTGTATATTCCGTATCAGTAATGCAATCTAAGGGTATTTTCAGTATACGAAAAGACTTTATTTTACTTGTGTGTCATTTTCACCTGATAAACTCACTATTATGATCTGAAAATTTTGAATATTTTCTTAAATTTTCAGAATTTAATTACCACAATTTGAGCGAATCTAGTAATAAATCTATTATTGTAGGCAAAACAACAACAGAATAAACAAACGTATACTAGAAAAACTACAACACATTATTTCTTTTCGTAACATTTGTAGAAATTTTATAAATGATGTGTCATTTTTACTACTTTATACGCTGTCACTAAAAAGCTGTAAGAAAACACTAGAAGGCTTTCAGAAATAAATTCGTGCGCTTATTAATTCCCAAAATACGTGCTTGTCAAGAATCCGGATATTTATTCACTGTTTCACTATTTATCACAAAACTTTTATAACAGCAATAAATAAAATAAAAAACTTGCATCGACTGCGATTTTTCACAAGTTAATCTTTATTGCCGATGTTTTGCGTCACAATAGGAAATACTAACTTCACATGAACAAAGCCACAATGAATAGAAGTGTATTTTGAATTTGAATCGAAATAAAAATAAATAAAAATGCGACGCAAAACAATGAAAATGAAGCGAATTGAAACGTCGATGTAAAACAAAAAACAACAGAATTCGGTCGATCCCGATCGTAAACGCGGATGCAAAGTGAAAACTTTTTTCATCATCTTTGAGCCGACCAACACGCGCCGAACGATTCCGCTCGTGTACTCGACTTTTTCTTGTTTACGCGTTGGCCCAAAACGCATTTGAAAAACGAGCAACAAAAAAACGAGAAACAAAACCGAACGAAGCGATATCGATGAGAGAAAAACGTTCGGGGAGTTGAAAACACTTCAAAGGAAACTCTGATAAAATTTTCAATTGACATACAGAGTGTGTACAAAAGTAAATAATTTACCTTTTCACCACTATCCGATGGCAAGTAAAATGTTAGAACGGTAAGGAACGAGATGCCCATGCACGGAATAATGATGTTCACCGTGTAGAAGAGAGTTTTGCGACGCATTGTGATGTTGAATGTTATATCCAGATATGGTTCATCACAGCAGGTGTAGAATTTTTCATTTCTGAAATACAACGAAACGGAATTAAAACAATGTAGCTGCCTTAATTGTTTTAAAAATATGCTCTTTGATACAGTCGAAACTTTCGGAAAACTTTGCCATCATCTGGGAGGCAGATCTTTTGTCAACTTGCGAAATATTTCTTGTGCGCTTTCGTGAAGTTTACACACAACGTGTCGAATAATATTCGCGTGTAATTAACGCGCTACCCTAACTTTGGAAACACATTATGCCTCCCTAAACGAATGAAGAATTTTGCGACAAAGTTTCAACTAAGCCACAACGAGATAAAGATGATCCAACATGGTAATATTAAATTTAGAATTAAATTCAGACTTAATTCTCACCTGACAGCAGGTACTTCAAGTATATCCCACTCAACCGACATGTAGAACTCGGAGAGGTCCACTCCGACTTCCACCACATTGCTGCCGGCTTTCTCGTCCATGTGTCGCAAGTCTACCTGCGCATCCACCAAAATGACAGTTACTTTAGTGTCGCATCACGCGGCCATTAACTACTCATTAGAATCATAAACACATGTTTTGCATAGATGCATCTGCATTTTCAGCACACAAAAATTGCAAATATTTTCTCTCAACATGTAGTAGTAGTATCATACGTATATATCAACATTATCAACTATCACAATTATCATAATGTCAATCGCTTAGGTAAATCTGAGTACATATTGAAACACATTTACGTACGAAAAACACATACAACATACACGCTAATCAAAAACGAAACGATATCAACATTCAATTATTTTTATTTATAAATATATATATTATCGCAATATATATAGATTGATATTTAATTATTGTTATAATCTGTACAATCATCATTCATTTATTATTCGTTTAAGGTTTATGTGAGCAGAAAAATCAGTAATATTGCTGGCTGAGTTAAAAAATGTATGTACACAGATATCAAACAAAAATAAATATAAATTAAAGAAAATTGCTTTTTCTGATAATAGAAAGCGTTTAAGATATTTTATTAAAATATGAAAATAATGTTTTTGTAAGTATTTTGTCGGTAGTGTTAAAAAAAATTAAAATAATTTCTACTAAAAAAATAATATAAATAAATTTTTATATTATTAAATCAATATAAATCAAATAAAAAGTAAAGCTTTCAAAGCGAAATATATAAAACGTTGTATTTATTTTTAACCTTTATCAAAAAGAGAGTATAAATATAACGTTTTATTGTTAACAAATACTACGTTCTACAAACATACATTTAAAAGAGAAGTAGGTTTGGTATTATGATTCTCACAAACAAGTAAAAAATATATATTAGTGTTTCAAATGCAATGCAAAGGAAAGTTACATCCGAGCCTTTTTTGCAGACAAGTAGCGCATGCATTTGTATATTACTAAGCTGCATAGAAAATTGCTTGTTGTTTGAGGTAATAAATCAATTTTTATGATCATTAAACTCTACGATTTCTCACAACTTTTAGAAACCTCATTTTAAAACATTTACAAAATAATATGTAATTAATATAAAAAGTTGGTGGAGAAAATTTAAGAAAAACTTCACAATACCATTATTTTCTCCATCTACGCAGAATACATGCTCAACGGCTACTAATAATATTTATTAATAAATCAATTATGTAATTAATACGGTTATACGTGCAAAACACAATTCTAGTGTAATTACCTGAACAATTAACTAATATTAACTACGTTTAATGACACCCCAAACACTAGGAAACAACATAAAACTATCAACTCGTAAATCACCAATTAGAAATTCATGCCATACTCAATTCAAAAGTTGCACTTTACGACAAAACATTACAGTAGATTACATTTAGTGATGTACACAAGATGAAATATGTGGAATATTTGCAATTTTTTACTAGATAAAAACTTAAAAAGCTTTGTTAATTAGTGAACTACAGTTATCTAACAACAGTAATGCTAAATGCAACATTAAACGCTAATTAATAAAACGTGACAATGAATAACTACACCCAATGCGTATAAATCAGTCTAAAATGCTAATAACATTTAAAACTGTGTTTTGCTTGTATGTTATATTAATAATGAGTAATTATTACTGCACATACAATTATGCGTAAGGATATATTGTCCTCGCACTTATGGTTCGTGTTTTGTTTCTCGCCCGAGCAGAGCCGATGAATAACGCCGGAATGCGACAACTATGCATTAAAGTGAAACTATGCGATGAATTATGCGCGTGGAGGCTTAAAGGACAACGCGACTCTAATTAACTGGTCGGCTCTGCCCGGCGCCGCCACCATCAGCGTGAAATTTAGTTTCTTGCTTGCTTAATCGCTCGGAGTCAGATACGACGCCATACGAAATTATTAAATTATCAAGACATGGGTTGTGTCTTAATACACTTAGCAAGACTTAGTTTTAACGCCGATTATTAATAACATGCTTTTAGATATTAAGCATTGATTTTTGTATTAGTATGCTTCAGCGCATTCACTTTCATCATGCCATGGTAATTTTTGAAGCGTTTTAAGCGCTAGGATCTTAACAGATTTATAATAACAATTTACATTCACCTAACATTGAGTCACAACACAGATTCGTGTCTAAAACACGTCAAACACGCGGACATACATGTAGAACACTGACAGCACGACTAAACGTCTAGCAGTTTACATTTGATTTTTTCCCAAGTTCCAAGCACCAACTGGTTTCGGTTTGAACGCTAATGAGTGATCTAAAGCTCTGATTGGAAAAGGTATAAAATTGTGGTGCGTCAAAAATCATCAAGTACACCACCAAAAATTGAAATTTGCAAATACAATATTTTTTTTAATAATAAATTGATTAAAGTTTTAGTTTTATTGTTGTTTATTTTTTAAACACAGACAAATCAAAAAATAATTAAATTATTGAAAATAAATAGTACAAAATATAAGAGAGAAGCGTTTAAAAATTTAAATAAGCACATTGAGTAAACAAAGAATAAAACATTGAAAAAAACTCACTTTACTCTTTTATTTTTGTTATTTGTTTCATTTTGAAAAGAATATTATTAGAGCAAAAGAAAATGATGCATATGAAACAATACAATTCTAGTCTAGTTCTCTAGTTTTATTTTCATTCTCGTGATTCGTGCATTCACTATTTTTCTTTCCGCAAGCGTTATTATTTCAATGTGAAATTAAAAACCCATTATACTGCTGCACCATACAAAAGAATGCAAATTTCTAGCATTATTTTGGTTTATGCATTTGTGCAGAAATTAAATTTCTTACTATTTTTTTCATGTACGTCAACAAGAATCATATCCTTCGTAATTCAATAAATTTGTTTGCGTTTGACTCTGCCTTTTACAAGTTCCAAAAGTTTTACTCTCGTTGCAGAAGTTATGAATGTACTTTCTTAATTTCATTTGTGTTCACCGCCCTGCGAGACGCTGTGTTGTGTGTGCTATCGATTGGCTTTGGCTGTGGCTTGGTGCGCCGAAAGAGAAACGTTTTAATCCCGACCTCATTCCCGGTCCGCGTCTCGCGGCCGGATGCATAAAACATACGGGTGCGGAAAGGCCGGACGATGAGAATTCGTCCTGCTTGAAGCTTAATCTGCATCCTGCGGCCACACTCGTTCGCACTTTGTTATCTACTAAAACTTTTTGGTAACTATCAACTGACAAAATGAATTTTTTTGAGTTTTTAATTAATTCGGTGATGACAAAAACGATGAAATGCATAATCCAATTTGCTAATTACATATTTGAATCCTTGAAATAGTCGGAGTAATAGCAAGGTGTCAAATTAGTGAGCGTCGACACGAAGGAGGTCGCACTGCTGGGGTCGCGCTTTGCATATCATCCTAATTGACGCCCGGCGCCTCCACCTGCCCTACCCTAAGCCCACGTACGCCCACGTTTGATGCTCACACACCATAACACAATCACAATTTCACGCTGCAAATCCACTATTCAAATGATTAGATTGACCGTGAATAGATTAGCATTACTTATTATAATTTCCATAATGTACGCAAATTCGCGCAAAGAGTAACGAGTGAGTTGCAATTGAAATTTAACGGCAACCTGTCAAAGCATGCGCTTAGTTTACTTCTTCATGCACTACACAAAGCGACACAAAAGTACAAATAACGCTGTGCAAACCAACATCAAAGAACAAATAACAAAAATTAAGAATATTAGCAAATATCTTTATTTAGTAACAATTTTAATTTAAATCAGGTTAAACAAATGTTTAAGAAACTTAATAAAACGTGTAATTTGTTTAGGTTTAGATTTGTTTTTGTTTAATTATGTTCGAGTGGTTTTACACATCTCACACCATTTTTTTTTAAATTTAAGAGTATAAATATTAAATTGTCGACAAAACATGTAGAATAAAAATTGTGCATTAGAACCAGAGCATATGTGAAATTAAAGTCGGTAAATTGACTTTAATGGCCAAGTGCAATTTTGCGCTCCATTTCACTAAAAAATTTGCCGCATGCTTTTCTTTTTATCATCTTATGGGCAAATTATGAAAAATCACACTGAGAGAAAGAGAAACTTTAACATTTTTTATAAACTGGTTTGTGTACTTTTGTTTTTGTAAATAATTACCATTTAATGGTAGAATTCTTTAAAATTTTATACCTTTCCCTTTTTTGTTTGTATATTTCTATTGGTATATAAATTTATACAGGACTTATTTAAATATGAAATAATTTTATTGACGTCTAAATTTGTAGTCCTGTATAAAAATGTATAATGTGCAAGAAAATATAACATATGTACAAGTGAATTTCTTGCTTTATACATTAAATTCATATACGTATTCGCAAACACTGTACGCATGGTCGATCATCAAAACTCATCGCATCTAAGTTCGTTAAACACGAATGTTGAATGTAAAAGTAGCAAACACACATCGTTCAAATCATGATCATTTAGACAAAACGAAATCGCTCGAGTAGGGAGCCAAACAAACACATCAATCATGACAATCCAAAGAAGTGGAAAACGAAAAACCAAAAAATAAAATCACAATGTACAGAATAACGGCCATTGGTATATAAAGATAAACATCATCATTACGGCATCTCGTTCATATCGTGACGAGCTAGGGCGTTCACTTAAATGTTGCGCTCGCAAATATATAAATATTAATATATATAATAATATATATATTAAATCATTCGCTTTGTACATCAGTCATGGTAAAACGGTTAAGTAGTGGTTAAATGGTGTGGAATGTGTGCGCGAACCTTAAACCCGTCATAGGTCCAACTTCCTAACTTCAACACGCATGTTTGGACGTCGTACGGAAAGAACTCAACGTCAATTGCGCACGACGACTTATAGACGGCCGGCGGCTGCCAGACGACAAGGCCGTTGTAGTAGATGTTGGCCTTCGTCATCAGCGTCACCTCATAGTTGCCGTCGGCGCTGCAACCAGACAAAGCAGAAACAAACAAACTTTTTTTTTGTGGCTCACAACTGCGATTCTAATCCCCACACAACGATGAGACCTGCATACACTTTATACATCTAGCTAGAAAAAAGTCTACAAAATTATTGTACAATAGCAGAAATTAATTATGCACTCATACCCATACATTCACACGATGTTATTCTTACTTTAACAATATTCTGTTTCATCTAATACTTGAATTTTTGACGAGTTATTTTCTCCTTCCGGATATATTTTCAATATCAATTTATTTCAAGTTAAATTTTCGCCGCTGTCACATTGCGCGATATCATTCGTAACCTCTTGCGTTTCTTGAAATTGATACATCAGAAAAGCGTCACTCTCGTGTTGCGTGGCAGGTTGTCATCGTGCGCGCTGACCGATAAAACCTTTCATGTCGTCAGAAACTGGACGATTCGTTTTCTTCTCTTGCGCGCCTATTCGCTCACAGACGCACACAACCACTACTGGAAATCGTCGAAAACGCGTTGCTTATATCATATCCGATTTCCCATGTCGGCCCCAATCTCATCTCAAACTAAATTTCCACCGATATCACGTTTTCCATTTCGTTCATTTTACTTGAAAGTGATGAAAAGTGATGAAAATCATGCGGAATAATAAAGCACTAAAAACTGAGTCTCGAGTATCTTAAAATCATATCAAATTCTCATCAGAATTCATAATTGATTTAGTTTATGACTGCATTGATAAGAATTTAATTAATCATTCAATAATCTTATTTTTTTGAAAAACTTTTTCTACGATAAATTACTTTAAACTTTCTGTGCTTAATGAGACGTAATCATACAAGTAAATGATTTAGATTTGTCGGAGGGCTATTAACGCGACGCACCGTCGAAGAAGAGTGTTTTTCAACGTTTTGGGCTTGTTTTTGCCACCCTCTTCCACTCACCGCGTTGCTAAAAAAGCGAGTAGATGCTAAATGGCGAAATGCGTGATACTGTCGCATACTCCATTAGCTTTGTTGAACATTTTCAACGTGAGTGATATTTCATCGCGAAAATGTGACAGAATACGAAAACTCGCTGCGACAAACATTAAATTACCAAAAAATCTAAATTTGCTTTGAATGGGAGAAAATTGCATCGTGAAAAATTCATGTTTCAGCAACTAGAACTAAATTAGCTTAATTTTATTTTGTACAGCGTTCAGAATAACAATATTCAACATTACCAGTTTTATCTTTAATATTTATTTATGTTCGCTTTAGTTTTATGTTCGATTTCTGCGTCAATTTTTTAGTTATCCGCTTCGGTTTAATCAAACCAAGTTATTTATGCTCGAGTTGATTTAACATTTCTTGTGTGTTATTGGTGTTTTGGTGTGTTCACAAATGTATAGAGGAACATATTATATAAATCACATAATATAATAAAAGGGAGGTATAAATTTCGATCAAAATACAAACAAACTTTTGAAGTTTGCTTTTGTTTGACTGCTCAAAAATAAAATACAAAAAATGTGCCGCTGATATTACAGGCCAAATATTTTTTCCTCGACTTTTTTTTTGCTTTCTATTATTTGGTTGTTTTTTTTTTGTGGCAAATTGTGAAGTAATTCTTACCTTGAAGCCGTCATAGGTCCAACTACCAAATTTGAGTACACAGGTTTGCTCGTCAAATGGAAAATACTCAACGTCAATCTCGCAGGACGACTTGTAAATGGCGGGCGGCTTCCATTCGACCAGACCCTGATGGTAGATAGTTGCCTTCGTCGCCAGCGTCACCTCGAAGTTGCCGTCGGCGCTGCAATCGGTCACAATGCACACACACAACCACGTCCAGCAACCGCAACAAGATTTTGTTTGTTTTTGATAAAATTATGAGCAAAATAAGTTTTCAAGTAGGAAAATATTGTGTTTTTGAAAATGATTCAAAGAGTATTACAGTTGCCGTCGCTTGTATTCATGGTCTAAGCCGACTAAAACAACTAAATCAGCATGAACTACACCTACGACTACAACAATTTTTAGTTTGTCCACGCACACACACGAAATATAAAATCAAAAAATAAGAGAGAAAGATAGAGAGCACCTTACATTACACACGAGTGAAACAGGTACATTTTACGCTCAAGAGAAAACACATGAATTTTACATGAGAACGTGTGAGTTTATGAGCAGAGAATAAATGTTTGCATTTATCAACACATTGCAGCACGCATTCTTCTTTCGTACGCGCTTGAAACTCAAAATTCACAAATCAAAAACCCAAAAACCCAAAACATAGGCACTTGCGATGAAAGCGTAAAGATGGAATGTAAATTATTTGTTTGGAATGCGTGCGAGCACATTTTGTTTTAATTTATGACTGAAAATATAAAAGAAGTAAAACAGAAGCTATTTATTAAATTATTTTAGGAACATAAAATATATAGTCATTTTTATTTACACCATATTTGTGGAATTGTTAAAATATTTTAAATTTATGAGACTTTCTGACGTAGAATTATGCGAAAAATTAAAATGTAATTAAAATGATGTAGATTTTTCTATTTCACATTCTATTTTTTATTTTTGCATTAAAATAAGACAATTTTAAAATTAAATTGAAGCCTTTCAACATGTACTAGTACAGCGCATTTCTCTGACAACAAAGCATAACTCCCTTTTTATATACTAAAACATTCATGATTTAGTTTATTTTGGTTCATGATGCAACCTGCACTTCAATTAGTGAAATCTCTTTTTTTTGCGCAAATTCAAATAAATGCATTTATAAAGTTGTTCACAAAATTGAAACAAATGTAAATTTCCCATCGAAAGCAATTTACATTTATTAATATTTACTTTCGCTTTTAAATTGACTTCCACAGAATATTTAGACCCGATTTGTTTTAGGCTTAAATAAACGAAGCGCTGATTGTTCAACCCTTGAGACTCGAGTTCATGACTTGATGATTTCAGCACATTGTGATCAATTTTTGGGATCCTGGACATTTCCGCATTTTGGTTTCGGTTCTTCTTATTTCACTCATTTATAAGACTCAAGTTCACATAATTAATTATTTAATACGAGTACACCATTGTTTGACAATAAGCGCACAATATACCATAATTTTGCATTCCGGTCTTTCTATTTCTGTTAAAATTTCAGTAATTCGTATATAATACATTTGTAGAAATCAACCGCTACCAATGTGTTTGTAATTTTCTCGTTGTCATTTTGTCATTGAAAGCCGTAGAATGTTCAATTATTTGAACATTCGAATGCGGTTCATTCCCAAGCTAAATTTCCTATTTTCACCGTTATTGCACCTTCGGGGAACGGATTGTCACTCAAAGGATATTATTTTAGGCTTCAAATGAAATGCCAAAAACGTGTATAAAATTCTTTTCACTAATTTTCAACAAAAATAAAATTTGCGCTTTTCCATTATTTCAATAGTTGCATTCTCGTTATTAGAACAAATTTGTAGATTAATATTTTGTTGTAATTAAATGAAGCGTAAATTTACCATACAATAATTAACCTGAATTATTTTCCGATCAAAATTGACCTGCTGAATAATTTTAATTCACGCTTTCTGCACAGATTTTAGTTGTTTTCAACATATTTCCTCATGTTATAGTTAAATTGTTCCGATAATTTATAAATATGAATAATTAATAAGCAATTATTTTCCGTGTGTACATTTTAATTTATAACTCTAACGAACATATTATTTAACAAAAATAAATGGATGCGCTAGAATATATCAAGGTCAAATAAGGTAAAAAAGATTACGCCAAATTTAAATGCAAATTGTTTTGCTAATTACCATGGCAAAATTTGCATTTTTATGCGCGGAAAAGTGTTGCAACGTATGTGTTAACAAACATTTTCGTGTACTTGATATCGATTTTTATGCCGCATAATTACCAAGTGCAAATAAATAGAAAATAAAATAGACCAGGCAAAATGACTGATTTTATTATTTTTAATTAAGGAAAGCTAACTAGTTTAAAATTAATAGTTGAAAATATGCAGAATATGTTCAGAAGCAATATCACGCAGATTCGCTTGAATTTCTGAATTACTCTTAGCCCATTGTTCCCACAGCACTGTTAAACGCGGCATGCGTTGCCGAAAACCCGCTCGCACCACACCTACACACCCCCGCGCTGAATCGATAAGCTCCCAGCGGGGAAGAAGCTTTAACCTCTATTCACGTTGTCTCCTAGCTCGCTTATTTTCAACATAACCTACAATTATTAAAATTCATTGTCAAAAAATTCAACTGTAAATTTCTGCTTGAAATTTGTGAAATATTGATTTTTTTCCTTAAATAAATGACATGACTATAGCTTCGCACAAAATTTGAGCTTCATGGATGGTGGCACTCTCACTGCTAGCACTCAAGCATCCGAAACACTTGAGAATCCCCCGCGGGCCTCGCATCCCTTGCCAGTTCACCTCTTCACAACGCCCCGATATCCATGCGATATGCCTCGGCAGATATCCGGATTACAGCACGATATTCAAAGCGAAACGCGCAACATCTTCGCATTCCCATAGAGCTTGCACCCTCAAACCGCTCGACCCAAACCACAGAACGCACGACTAGTCAAGACAAAACATAAGCAAGTATACAGAAGCGTCAAGAGACGAAGATATGAGGCAGTATCAGAACATATTTGCACGTTATCATCAATGCGTTTGTCATCTTAACCAGCGATATTATCAGTGAACTAAACTCAAATTTGAAGAAATTTTAGTTGTAAGCATATCTTGAAATGAATTTATTAAATAATATTAACTCCTGGTTTATGTGGAATAGAAATTAGAGATTAGCCTGACACACGAATCGAAGGCTTGATTTGGGTGTGGCATTGCTTCCATCGCGGTTTCAGCTCGCTAATGCGTTTCGGGCCTTTCAATCTCTGCTGCCAGATTTTCTCCAGTGACAAGTTCTCTCAATGGACCAGGCCTAAATGTCGAATGTCAGTTTTGCCTTTTATTATTTAATGGTCTTGCTTAAATATTTAAATAGATTTAGAATCCACAAATAAATTTTATTTTTTTTAATTCTCAATAAAAGCACTTTACACAAAGCTAAATCTTGCGTGATCTATTGTCGTTCACCCACCTCCCTTTCAGAAATTCGACTGTAGAAACAGTTAGTGCCAACCAACCGACTGGAACAAGTTTTCTCCAGTTTTAGTTGTTTGCTGGGGGTAGTTCTAACTCTGCTGACTATAACTCTCTCAACTTGACTAAACCACAACCACCTTTTTCAGAAAAGAAACAGATAAGAGGATACAACTAAATTGAAATACATAATAAAATTCTAAATTAAATTTACTTTATCGCATTAAGAATGTAAAGAACCAAATCAAATACTAAAATGACTGATGTCATCATATTCCGAGTAGTGGAATGCCTAAAATGGCAAGTTGAATTAATTGCCTTCATTTCTCCGCGGCGTATTCCAGTATTTTTAATGCATGCAAGCACATGTACTCCGAGATTCATTAGACATTATAATGAATATTTTTTTGGCGAAACGCGCGCGCTCGGAATACGTAATCGGTTCACTTTCCGCATGCATCACAATTAAACGCTAATTTCCAGTCGTGCGGAAAATGTGCCCGGCAGCGATGCAATTTCGCACTAATTTCCGGTAAACTCTCAGAAAATAGTTCGCAAACGAACTTTTATAACTTCATCATGTTCGAATCAAAACTATAATTATATTTATTCACGTCAATTGTACCTTATCAGTAAATTTTGCAACGCAATTAATTTTTTATTTACCAATAAACATTATTTCTTTCTTAACGACCGACGATATAATTTATGCGAATAATTATACTTGGCTATAAATATAATTTTCTCTGAGTCACTTGTGTCAATAGTTCCACTGTAAGGATGATTTTCATATTTTCCTTAATGTTTTGGGTGGTTGTTGATAGTCACAAAATACAGAATCAAATTTATGACCGTTTTCCTGAAGATTTCTTCTTTGGAGTGGGAACTTCGGCGTATCAAATCGAAGGAGCTTGGAACCTCTCAGGAAAAGGAGAATCTATTTGGGATCGCGCTACTCATACAACACCATACATCACAGATCGGTCTACCGGGGACGTAGCCTGCGATTCGTACCATAACTATCGCGAAGATATTCGTATAGTCAAGCAACTGAAAGTCCACTGTTACCGATTTTCAATATCATGGACGCGTATCTTTCCCAATGGGACAGTGAACAATGTAAACCAAGACGGAATTGATTACTATAATAATCTGATTGATGGCCTTAGAGCAGTTGGTGTTGAACCAATGATTACGCTGTTTCATTGGGATACACCTCAGGTGTTGCAAGAACTAGGCGGTTGGGCTAGTGAGACAATGATAGTTTGGTATTTGGAGTATGTTGAACGGGTCTTTGAGTTGTTTGGGGATCGCGTGCAGGTGTGGACGACGTTTAATGAGCCTGCAAATTTTTGCCAGTTTGGATATACGCAAGTTTCAGCACCGTTTCTGAATAGTTCTGGAATTGGAAGTTATTTGTGTGCTCATAATATTATTAGAGCTCATGCTGGGGCCTATGACTTGTATCAGAAAAAGTTCAAAAGCAGACAAAAAGGAATAATTGGTATTTCATTGGATTCATTTTGGAATGAACCTGCTGATCCTAATTCTGAAGAAGATAAGAAAGCTGCTCAATTTTCATTGGAATTCTATGTGTGTATAGAATTAATAACAAAATGAAATATAATTTATTTATTTATTTTTAGTTTGGATGGTTTGCATGGCCAATTTTCAAAACAGGAGATTATCCAGATGCAGTGAAACTTCAAATAGCACGACGTAGTAGAGAACAAGGTTTCCCGCGTTCTAGACTGCCTGTTTTTACAAGGCAAGAACAAATGAAAATTCGTCGTAGTTTTGATTATTTAGGTCTCAACCATTACGCAACTTTTTTGACCAAACCTGATAATCAAACAGCTAGCATGTTCCCAACAAGGCAAAACGATCGTAATCTTATTGAATCAGTTGACCCTTCATGGAAACCCACCTCAAGATCTGGTTTCACCGTGAGACCGGAAAGCCTCCGGAAATTGCTGCTGTGGATTGGCCAGTATTTGGGCAGTCATGTCAAAATTGCTATTACGGAGAGCGGATACAACGGAGCTGACACTGAAACTTTGGATGACCCGGAAAGGATAGATTATTTGAATGGTTATGTTCAGGCTGTCTTGGACGCTATGAATCAAGGTGCCAACGTCAAAGCTTTCACGTGGTGGAGTTTGATGGACAACTTTGAATGGGGAGATGGATACACGTAATAAATTATATTTTAAAATTTTTACGTCTCTAACTTGTGTGTTGCAGGAAAAAATTTGGGTTTTACCATGTTGATTTTAACGACCCAAGACGGCGAAGGACAGCTAAGAAATCAGCAAAAGTTTATCAAAACATTATTGTGACGCGGAAAGTTGATCCCACATTTAACCCAAGTTATTTTAAACATTAAACTTTTAGTCATAGCAAAAATGTAAGAACTGAACAGTTATTAGTCAATTGAATGTGATTTATTTCTGTAAAAGGCTTGTTTCATCGGAAACTAACGTATTATTGGTTGTTTAGTAATAAAGATAATAGAAAATATTCAGTTTTATTTTTTTATTTCATATATATAATGCAAGTATAACATTTATTTTACCATAGTGTTTACTGACCTTTAACTAATAATGACTTTCATACAGGTAGTATTGTTTTTGAGCCTTACTATAAGTTCAATTTGTGCTCGTGAAAATCTAACCTCTTTTCCAAAATATTTCAAATTTGCGGTTGCAACATCCGCGTATCAAATTGAAGGTGGCTGGAACGAAGATGGCAAACTTCCATCTATATGGGACACATTCACACATACCTACAACCTTACTCCTGACAACTCTACAGGCGATGTGGCTTGTGATAGTTATCACAAAGTAGAAGAGGACATCAAAATTCTTAAGCAACTGAATGTAGATATCTACAGGTTTTCTTTTTCATGGACGCGTCTATTTCCTTACGGCACAACTAATTTTGTGAATCCATATGGAGTTAACTACTATAACAAATTGATAAATGGTTTGCTTGAAGTTGGCATTGAACCGGTAGTCACCCTTTTTCATTGGGACACACCTCAATCATTGCAAGATCTTGGTGGTTGGGCCAACGATAAGATGATTGGATGGTTTGTGGACTATGCCGATAAAGCATTTGAGATTTTTGGGGATAGGGTTAAGATGTGGACTACAATGAATGAACCAGCCAATTATTGTGGATGTGGATACAATCTTGTATTTCCACCGTATCTAAACAGTTCAGGCTTCGGCGAGTATTTTTGTGCACATAATTTAATCAGAGCGCATGCTAAGGCCTACCGGCTTTATCAAAGAAAATACAAAAAGTCAAAATGGAAAAATTAGCATTGCTTTGGATAGTTATTGGAATGAGCCAGAAAATCCGAAACTTGCAAAGGATCGCGCTGCCGCTCAAAAAGCACTTGAGGCTCATGTAAGAAATTGTGCTGTAATTATGAATTAATTGTTTACTTAATTTATAAATCATTTTTAGTTCGGTTGGTTTGCTTATCCAATCTTTAAAACTGGCGATTACCCGCTTTCATTGATTGAAAGTGTTGCTAAACGCAGTCGCGAGCAAGGTTATAAAAAGTCTCGTCTTCCTAGGTTTACTTTATTGGAAAAGCTTGAGATATACGGATCTGCTGATTTTCTGGGCTTGAATCATTATATAACAGTAGTTAATAAATTTGATAATCAGCCACCATCCAAATATCCTAATAGTACTAACGACCTAAATGAGGTAGAATATTTTAACCCGAATTGGACAAAGACTGAGGACTTTAAAATGGCAGTCAAGCCTGACAGCCTAACAAAACTACTGCTATGGGTTGGCAATAACGTTAATAATAAAACTCGTATTGTAATTAGTGAGAATGGTTATGCGGGAAATGCAAATGAAACTTTCAATGATCAATCCCGCATTGATTATTTGAATTTATATTTACAAGCGGTATTAGATGCCATGAACCAAGGTGCTAATGTTGATGCCTACACTTGGTGGTCACTAATGGACAATTTTGAGTGGACCAGCGGTTACACGTAAGTAATAATGCCAACAAGGCATTTATAAATATATTTATAAATTTTTGATTATAGAACAAGGTTTGGACTCTATCATGTTGATTTTAATGATCCAAACAGACCGAGAACACCTAAAAAATCAGCAATGGTCTATCAAAATATAATCAAAACTAGGAAAATTGATACTAGTTATAATCCAGATAATTTTACTTAAATTTGCTCCGATGAATTAAATGAAGAAATAAACTGTCTAAACAAAAACTTTATTTATGTAACCAAAACAGACGCCACATATTTTTATGAATGATATTTATATCTCCTTCGTTTTTTGACTTTTCGAAATGAATAGCTCCCATCAGATGACATATCGTCACTCGGATAATTTACTTTTGTTTGTAGTGTTTTTATTTTCTTTTTGTACTGCCTTAACTTTTTGGATTCTTCTTTGCACATCCTATCAATTCGATCCAGATGATCGTTGGTTTCCGAAATCATTGGAATGACTGATGGGCATGAATTTAAAATATCTCCTAAGTTTCCCGTGCTTGCCATCCTGCTTGTACCGAGTGGATCGAACAAAGAGTACGGTGTGTACGGCGGATACGGGTAGGGTGGTGAGTAGGACGAGTATGGGTCCATCCATGTGAAGGGCGATAATCGATGCATCGGCGAGAATGGCATGTAATTCAAATTCTGCAACGACGCGTACGGATTGCGCGCATCCATCGGGTAGCAGCCGGGATATCCAGCATAACCAGGATAACCGTAGGGCATCCATGCTGACATTGACATTTGGTATGCGAGAAACTGGTTCAGCGCTGGACTATGCTAAAAACAACCATTGTATTTTTAGGCCAGCTGGTAATTGAAATTGATGTATTTATTTGTAGTTTGAGTTCCGGTGCAAACACAACTCTGACACGTTGAATTTCTCACCTTAGATAAATAATTTACGTGGGTAATGAATGCCTAAATGGACGTTTGACCCTTTTTATTACGTTGTGCATTAATCAAACCCGCATTGGTATATACATATAAAACTGGCCACATTTTTGACCCTTGGCTGCCAGCAACTAAAATTATCCCTTATTTCGCATTTCAACCCCTTTGAAATTGGATTTCCAATAGAAATGGCCTAAACTTTTAAATTTATTCAAATCTAATTTTCGGTTCAATTCCACGGGCGTGCTGGTTTTGAGAAAATTAAAATGAGATACCGATAGAGATGTTTGTGGTAGATGTGCTGCTGGCGGTTGCGGAAGGTATTGATGCGAGGCGGCGAAGGAGGTGGCGTTCTTGACGCGAGCGGCCTCCAGCTCGTCGTGTTCCGCCGCCAGCTTATCTCTCAAGTGGCGCGTCGACCGACGTATCGAGGCCAATTTTCTCTCCAATTGCAAGCCGCGTTCATTGGGATCCTCCGATTCGGTTGTTTCCAGTTTCTCGCGATGGTGGCGACGGCGACACGATTCGTCCTCTACCTCACGCGTGAACAAGCGCGTCGTAGTTAAAGACATCGTCCAACATTCAGAATATTAACACTTTTCAAATTTCGAATGCAAATTTTGACTCAGATGAAAAATGTCAAAAATATTATGACAGCATTTTTTACTACATAAAATTTTAATACAAATGCGTAAATTATTAAATTCAGAAATGAAAACTCCATTTTTGTAGTATGCTTGAATCATATTCATATTTCTCTTTTATGCTGGAATTGTAACGTTGCGCATTTTTAGAATTCCGCGAATGAAGAATGACACTTTTGAACAATTCATATTCTATGTGCGTGTGTGTAGCGTGTTATATTTTTTCTTTGCACTTTTGTAATATTTTACTGAGTAGACGTTTTTCACGTAACAGCAATTTTTATTTTTTACCAAAATACAGTAGGGCGCACGCAAAATCTATTCCATAAAACATTCCACATCTTAAAACTTTTACTTCTTGTTGAAAATTCGCGTGCGAAGAAATTGTCTCATGGTCTTCGCGTTTGATATTGATTCAAATCCAACTGTGAGCATCATGAGGGTATACAAGAAAGTTAAACAGATTTACTTGGAGTCCTGCGTGGTTTGTTCGCTAATAAACATAAACCAATGAATTCTTCTGGGAGACGAGAGGGAAAAAACTCCCAAACAAATGGGAAATGAAAATAAACTTTCATTTCGTTTGGGAATATGTAAAGAGGCATAAATGTTCAACTTAAAATGCGATTTGTTTTATTTATATTTTTGAACTTAAACTATTTTGTAAATTAAATTAAATTCACTATCAGTAGTAAATTATTTTTATAGCTGATACTATTGTCTCATAAATTACTCAAATGTGTCAAGTGCAAAGCGGCCAAGAACTAATTAAAACGTTACTTCGTTTATAATAGCTCAAGACAGGGCAGTTTTTCCATCGGTCTCATAAAGTCATAAATTCATAAATTTACCTATTTCGAGCGCAGTCATAAAGAATTATGTACCCATAATGAATAAAACTGGCTCGTTCTGACGCGTTTCAATTATGTCTAAACACGCCATGTGTTTTAATAACTTTCAAAGTGTGTCGGAAGCATCAGAATGTCAATAAGCATTAAGTCTCAAAATTCCATCAGCGAATATATTCACTGGCGTATGCTTGCGTATGCATGAGTTTGTGTTTTAAGAAGAACGCGTTTGTTTACTGTTCAACTACTGTGGATATCTATTCAAAACATGACTAGAGAAGCACTTTCGCGATAGATTCAAAATCATATCTCTGCTATACAGAGTGTGACATAATAGTTTTGGATCAAATTTAGTTTTCTCATGTATAATATGAGATATTTTGCGACTCATATGCGAATAGTCGCGTGTAAACAAAAATGTAACGCATCCATACTTGCTGTTACGGTTGTAACACAAAAAGAACAAACAGATTACCCCGCTTCAGTCAACACACTTATAGCACGCTCTTTGATGGCGCTTCAGAACGTGCCGAGTGTATATGCCAGCCATTCCAACGCAAGGGATTTTGTCTTTGCATCGCTTTGATTGCGTTGGTTTTTGTGCAATTTTGCCGCAAACCGCGTAAAAACGTGCGTCGGATAAAGTGCAATTTATTACACTCATGAATCATGCATTTACAGAAGAAAATACCTACTTCAATAAAACCCATTGCTATTTGCAAAAAATATTTTTTATGTTGGTACAACTTCTGTTGGATTTGTCCATATTATGAAGATTTTAAATTTTTTGAAACATTTTTATATTTGAATTGTCTCCGGAATTTCTTCTCGAAGCGAAAGTTGCGATAACGACTCATCACGAGCAAGCTCGTCGTAAAACACCCTGGAATCGCAGGTCCTGATGCTTTTTTCATACCCGCTCTAACGACTCCTCGCGCATAACGTCAGATTGCCGCCCCCCGCCAAAAGCCAGCAACCAAAAACGCCGAAATTAATCTCGGCGAGAGCAACGCATAAAACCGTAAATGCGTCGTTTGAGACGCACGTTTTGGGACGAAAAGCCGGAACAACTCGATAAAAAAGCAACCACGAGTGCAAACTCACAAAACCAAGAATTATTGCTGTATACCTAATAATCCTAAAAGTATAAAAAAAAACAAGCAAACGTAATATTACCAAATTTACAAAGAAAAATCACCAATTATTTTGATTTATCTAAAATAAATTAACTAAGTGTCAATGTAATGGCCAAGATAATTATCCACAATTAATCCCACCTTGCCAGTGAGAATTTGGATTCTTCCTGTGTGATCATAGAATGACCTCTACTGCTAGAATAAAAGAACATTAGCAGGCGTCCAGTGTGTCTGGTCGAACTCGGTTTTCGTTTAAAACTGACGTTGATAAACGCACGCAATGAACGACTTCTATTATTTTGATAGTGTCAGGCGCAGAACCTTCCTTGCGTTCGTTTTTGCTCGCGCCTCGACTCTTTGTTCGTCACGCTTCCGACAGTGAATTTTAGTTCTTCAGTCTCACTTAACACTCTCGGAAAGTAGTCGAGTAACCGCTTTAACAGTAACAGTATCTACATTTCTTTGATGTTGGACTTGGACTCCAACACATTTTCATGAGCAGAGTGGAAGAGACAGAAGCAATTTTTGCTGGACGATTTTAGGTTTAGAAAAAGTTTTTCCGCAACCGTCTTTGTAGAAGATTAGAAATGAACCTTCGCGCGTAATAAGAAGCAATGAGTTGCAATGTAGAGGGCAATGAGAGGAAATTGCCAAGTTTTTGTTGGAAACTTTATTTTTTGTTTTGTTTTGCCGTCTATTGCTAATTTTGGGCTACAAAAAAGTTTGAAAAACTACTTGTGTAAGTTGTTTGGATAGTTAATTTCATAATCTTATCATGAGTTTCCAAGTATTAGTTAATAAATATATTGTTGGTCTTTGGGAACAAAGTTTCGCAGAAAATTACTTTCCACGAAAAGCAAAAAATAGTTTTTGTTAGACTTTCATTAAAGAAAAAGAACGAATTGCGCTTAGAATGTACAAAAACGTGTGCTTTTTATAGTAATTTTTTATAAGCTAAGTACTATTTCAATATTTTAGTTATATATTTTATCCTATAAAAGGTGTTTTTTTGCTAGTGTTAAAATGAATTAATAAAATAAACTCGAACGGGTTTATGCGTTATGCAGCTGATGTTTCGGCCGAAATAGGTTGGCAAACTTTGCAGCGCAGGCAGAAGGCGAGCCAAATTTAAGACCTCGAACTCCTGACGTTTTTATAGGTGTTGGAAAGTATCGCCGCGTATGTAAGTCGAACACGCACGCAAAGAAGGATAATGGGTGACTGCGCGTTGCCATTCTGGCGCTCATACATAAAGATAGAGATAACTAGTTGGAATACTGACTACTACTCGACTACTTCGAAGCATTCTTATACCCGGAAAGGTTTTTTTTCTCCTGGCATGCGTGCCCTGAAATCATAATATCAGGAAGACGATTCTTCATTCTTCCCGCTTTATTTATATTGCTGTTTTTCTAACCGTGAAACTTTTTTCCGTATGACAAAATAATATTTGTGTTTACTTGCAAGAAATTAAATTTGTATTCAATTAATGTGAGACTTTTGATGTGATGCTAAATGTGAGAGAGTGACAAGAATGTGAAATGCACGTTGTAGAATATCGAGGCAATTCACGATTACCCACGGTAAATTGAACGCACGCCTTTCTTTACCATCGTCCTTTCTTTCTCGCTGGTATTGCAAGCGTCCGAATGGAAGGACGACCGAAAGGAAAGTATTTACCAAGTTAGATTGAACGGAAACGAGTGCCAGTGCGAGGACACGTCGCAGAACTCAGGAAGCAGTGCAATCTGCAGGACGGGATTTTCTAAAGGAAGGACAACCGGCGATAGCGCACCGATGAAGGCCGTGATATTCGCTATTCGTTCTATTCGAGTGTACGGATACCGAAGACGCGCGCAAGTAGCGTATGCAAATGGAAAAGTTTGCAAAAGTTCTACTCTTTTCAAGTTAGTGCAAGCGCTTTGAGACTTTTCACATCGTTTCAAATTTCAAAATTTTAACAATCCACAAATATAGTAATTAGGCTTTGATTTACCAAATGAAAAGAAATATTAAAGAAAATTTGTGAAATTTGCAAATGAATTGATTTCATAGCAATTAATATAAATTGAAGTGCTTTGCAAGACTTACTTATTGTATAAGACAATGTCGGGTCGCCAAATGTGGTCAGACGGCACGTGGAGCATCTGTACGCCGCCATATTCCTTCGGTTCCCAGCGCAACTTGTAATCGTACCACGACTAAAAGATTACAACGCAATTAGCAATAAATTAGTTTGGTAATTACAACTTTTTAATGTGTTTGTCATTGATAAAAAAGTCTTACCTGTTCCACCCATAAATTTGTTGTCATAATCTGATTTTTCAAGTTCTGTAACACACAAAATAAAATCAACATTAAATTAAATCAATATTCCAATCTGAACATATTGGCGTTTGCATTCATGAATGCAAACAAACAGGCGCAAACATGAAAAGGCGTTGGCGTTTAATAAACCATTAATTAAAGCGTTAGCGCTCTCACGCGCCGCGTTTATATTTGGAGGGTGGAAATGCGCGGGCTCGTTTTTGGAAAATAATAAACGCTTAGGCGCTCACCCGTTTGCACACGGAAATCTAAAATACAAGAACATGCACAAGAACAAGCCCACGCTGGTAGTAGGTACATAAACTACGTTACGAAGAAGAAGACAAAAACACAAGGTACCAGTAGAACCTTGTGCTTGATGGCTGAGGACCAAGACTATAAAGAAATTAAAACGGCCCGAGTGATGATAACAAGCATGTTCAAGCATATTGTTTTTTGTATAACAAAATTAATTAGTGCGTCGTTAGCTACGCGATAAAAACGAATTTTAACGTAAAAGGTTGAAAATCGTTTGAGTTGAAAGTAAACTATTGAAAACATGATTGTGTCTACCCAAGCGTTACCATCTATTGGTACAAGATTACATGTTTAAATATAACCTTCAAAAAAGGAATTGAGTTTCACCGTTCATTCAATTATTGTAAATATTTACAGATTTGAGTGCTAACTCAACAAGTTATCACAATCGAGTATGTGATTTTATTTGTACGATCAAAACAGGTCCTTACTTTTTTTTGAAAACCTTTTTTTGAAAATCTGCTGTTGCTACAAAATGTTATAATTTATTGCCCATATAATACCTTAGATGTATGTATTAAATATCTAGCAACGTAATGGAAGGTAAGTATTTCCTGTAAATTTTGTAATTTCATCCCAGTTGGATGTTAAAGCGCCCCTGACGGAACATTAGTACCAACATACATCGCAAACGTTTATTAATATAAATAGAAGATATTCATCTTCATTTATTTACGCGCAACGTATCCGCCTGCTGTGTGCACGGTGTGCGCTTGTGGGAGTTCTTTGTTTCGACATTAGTTGCTGTCAGGGTGTGGGGAGGTTACCGGGCGGCGGACAACTATTGCATTGCGTTAGGTTTACGGGCAACGAATAAAAAGATGCCTCTGGGAACCACTCCGGAGAATAATCCCGATGGGCGCAAACACAAGGATCTCACAAACCAAATAAATGTGGCCTAAAAGGCTTAAAAAACGACAAAAATTATGTACACAAAAACAAAACATTTTAAATTGAATACTGTTTAAAAAGTTACTATAAATTTACCATTGTTATCAAATCATTTTCAAAATTTAAGACTTTTTATTTTAAATTTAAGTTTTGATTTATTTTAATATCCTGTTTAAAAAATATCTTTTTGCTTGGGTTGGTCTATACAGTTCGGAAGGTACTTTTATAGTTCTACTTTATGCTTGCGTCTGAAAAGCAGATTCTGTCCCTTCTCATCCTCATCCTGTTTTCCTGTGTTATTAACGCTATTCCTTCGGGGCGTTTGGAACAAAATGCACGTTGCCAGCGCTACCGCTTCAGCAGATCGTAGTTCCTCTCGAGATATGAGCTGAAGTTGAAGACTTTAGTGAAAACTTGACAACTCGAAAACCCAAAGACCCACAAACCCAAACGCCCAAAGATGCAAGGATGCAGGATGTAAAGAAGTACGGCAGGTTTTATACGCTTTTTTTTTTTGCCTTTTCTTTGGCGTCACAAGTTTTTCTCGCATATTTTCTTAAAGACTACTAAAAGTGCTAAGGATTTCTCAAAGTCTTAAAGGTTTCACACTCTAGGCGGTTTATTTATTATTCATCTCACAATTAACGTCATTCTGATTGGAACTTTTTCCTGTCTTTCAGTAAGTTTTGGCTAATTTCTTTTTGGAAAAAACAGAAAGTAATAAAATGAAAGTTTTATCGTCTCCTTTATATTAAATTCATAGATTTTCTAGCTACTTTGGGGACAAACAAAAAAAGCACATGAAATATGCTCAAATATATCTTGCGTTAACACGTCTATTGTAGCTTTATAGGAAATTCATTTTATTCCCGCACGGACCAGACTTATGAAAAAAAAGTAGATCCTTAAGAAATTCCAACGCGCTTCACAGGAGCACGTATACTCGATGGTCGATTTTTGTATTCGAGAATGGATTTGGATAATAAAATGTAGTTGTTATATTGGTCCAAGCTTTCCTATATCGTCTCCGCTATTGTGATTTTATTATATGGGAAAATTTTTACATCAATCGAATCTTTTGATTCGATTCTATTCGCATAAAATTTATGCAATAAAATATTATTCGATTTGTTCACAAATTTGATTTGCAGAAAAAAGAAATCATTTTTGTTGTTTTGTTATTAAATACTTGTGATTAAAGCGACTTGGAGTGTTCTAAATGAGTCTTTATATTAATGAAGTTATTAAGCAAGTGCAGTAGATGCGGCAGTGAGGAAAATCGAGGCAATCAAAGCAATATCATTCCACTTCTAATTAAACCAGGAAGTTTATTAATCATACGCTGATATACTGCATTGCTCGCTTATAATTGTAATTTCATCGATATAATAGAGCAAATAACTTTCATGTACATTTAATATACATGGTAAATTTGAAGTTTCACATTAATAATTGTACAGCCTGAAACCAAACAATTATAATACCTACTAGTTTCTTGTTAAATAAAATGATGTACATCAAACATATACGTTAAATCCATATTTAATGGCGACAAAGTTGTATATTCAGTATTCAAAAATGTCACTAACATTGCAGTTGCAAAACTATAACTAACATCTTTTCTACATTTGTTTAAATTAATCATTTTAAGTGGATTTTGCGGTTGGAACTCAGCATGAGCAATATTGAAATAATGGAAACTCGAAATTCGGAAACGCGGAATTAAAACAAACAACAATCTCGGTTGGCGCACCGCCGGGTATTTTAATGACCGCCGCTACCACAAAGTACCTACCACGCGACTGAAAAGCGGGAAGTTTCATTTTGATGCGCACAAAAGCGGATGTGTTTCCAACGGAAGGAAAACAACGCGCCACGCACGACACGTCGATACACAAAAGGTTTATTGGTTACTGGTGGAAACATCCGATAAGTCAATTACACTTTGCGTTGATATCCCAACGCTGAATTTATTCGCATTTTTTGGTATTCTAATTTTAAAACTTCTAACATTCGCTGACCAAGCTGAAATTTCAAGTTTCCCAACCACTCGAATAGCTTAGATGCTGGTGTTCTCCTACTCCTTGCCACTTTCTTGGGCATGTTGAACCGTATTCGAAACAAATTACCACAACGTCGTCTGTGACCCACACTATCCTCAAGATGCTCTCGAGCGGTCGCACATGGAAGGAAGCAATCGTGTGGGTGTGTGCTGCTTGAACTGTCTTTGAAACCTGCGGCGGGCGCTTTGGTCCTGAATCATCGCTTTTAAACCGAGGACATGGAAATTTACGGCTTGGCGAAGAACATAAACATTAACAATATCACAAGAACAAACCGCCCGGATTATATTTTAGAATAGATGTTTTACAAACAAGGACTTGCTGCTTTAAACCACTAGATATTATATTTTCTAGATGGAAATAAAGTCGACATAAATACAAACCGCGTCCTATTTAAATCGCAATAAGACCTCTTTTCATTTCAGCATAATATGCCTTATTTTCTAAAGTGACTCTCAACACTTTGCACAACTCATGTTTGCAACGCTTGCAATTTCTGCTAACATGAATTTCATTCAAGCGCACGTTTCGAGCGTCCTAGTTTACATAGTGTTGTCGTTTTCTCGTGTCCATAAAGTACTCAGATATCAAAACGACCACGACGATATTTTTCCAGTACTTAGAATTTGCTATCTATAAATGAATGAATAGCACGAATTATACTTTTAAGTACCACTGGCGGTATTCATGCAAATGTAATCAATGTTTGAATAGGTTTTATTTGAAAAAATGCAGACAAATGCACTCGGGGATGCTGTTGACAGCTGTACGATGAGTACGTGTGCGAGACAACAACAACGAGAAAAGAAAACCTGCGGCACATGCAATTTTAATAACGCTTTTCCACCGCGTACTAAGCTGTTTCAAAGAATGTGTCGAGAGTTTTTCAAGCAAGTGTTTCCTTTAAAAGTAGCAAAAAATAATCTACAAAACTTTTGGGTACAATATATTTATAAATAAATGTGTTAATACTGGGTGTTAAATTTAAATTTAATATACTTGTATACTTGTATAATGTTCTTATAAAAATTCTGTAGATAAATGCATGTTTTTGTGTTTTTGTTCAGTCAAAAAGTAGATTAAGTCAAATTGTGAAGGCGAATTGAAGAACATTGAAATATAAATACCGATCTAAAAGAATTTCAATAAAGTGTGCGCGCTTGCGAGCGCATTGATAACGTCTTACAATTGGATTAAGGCATTAAGCACTCCTTCCAAACGTCCTGTATCCTCGCGCACGCTACTTCCGTCGCTTTCCCTCGCAGTCGGTGCGGTGCGCACAGCTTGAGTGGGAGCTCAATCGCATTTCCTATTCATCCTCAACATTCATTAATCTGTTATTCCGGCGGACGGTATAATCCAGGAATATTTTCCGATAAAAATGCATTATTCAAGGATCAAGGCTCCACTGTGGCGCGTATTTAATATTTATGTTTTGTCAATTTTGCTAAAAACATAAATAAAGACAAATTTATCCGCGGCTATCTCATAAGGCAAAAATGTCATCATTGATTTTTCATTATATCCTGTCCATTGTTATTTCGCCGTCATTTTTCATCATTTTAAACAGTGAAGGTAATATAAAATTATTTTAAAAATATATAAATATTATATTATCAATGATTAATTAGTGCATGATAAATTGAATTCATATTGCAAGCTTTTGCAAATTGGGCATCTTGTTAATAATATCGTACTTCCGAGCGCTCCAGATGATGCATGCCATGCGAAACATAATCCTAAGCAGCTTATTGCAAATTACATCAAATTTACCTTGAAATTCAATCGCAGGCAACTAAGGCATGCAAAACCGCGGAAGTAATGAGAAAACGCATTTAGCGCTTGATTTCCACATCCTAGCGAATTGCATTCGTCATGAATAATAGCCGGATCACTTCCTGGTGCAAATGGCATGCCGGATGCTTGTGTCGACGACAAACTAAACTTAAGCCAGCAGTCAGACTAAATAGTCCGACTCTTCACTCTCGAAACGAGACATTGCTGCGCTGAGGGTGGAGAGATGTTGGCGAATCCTTACAAGCCTAACTTTTGCACAGAGCTAGTGCTCCAGCTACGTACCCCGTATGAATAGTGACTATACATAATTCATAATGAAGCTGACACGAGCGAGCGCGCGTCGCTCCTTAACGAAATGTTTCGAATGGCTGAGCTGTACTTTGTTATGCAATATTTACTGTATGCCAAGTTGTTCGTGTGGATAAAGTTTGCTGCCGCCGGTTTTGCAGCCGGAGCAGCGAAGCGACATTAAGGGCGAGCGCTAAATGCTAAATGAGTCAACTTATCGGTACGAATAACTGAATAAGTTAGACTGTGCTGTTTTGAGACTAGAGATTTTTGAGTCAGGCAAAGGGATTTATACAGAGTGGTAAAATAAAATCACAACATATAAAATCTTGTTTTTATTTCTTCTTTTCGATATTTGTAGAAATTATTTCGACTGCGATGCTTTTTCACATTTCAAAGTATTTGAATTGCATTGCAAGTTACACCCACATTCGTTATATACAGTCAGAGATCTTTGATACCCGCATGAATCACCTTTACCTAATATTGGTTCAATTAGAATTAATTTATATTTCAATAAAAATATAAAATGCATTATTCTTACCAACTGTATAAACACATGTATCACAACATGCGCAAGACATTGCTTTGATGGCACCTCCTGTTCTAGTGCAATTGCTTGGTGGATCATAACACGCCAAGTCGCAAATTGGATTACATAGTCCTTCAACTTGATAAACAACTATGAAAATAGTTATGAATATGGCACTAAAACCGTATATATTTAGTAACATATTTCCAGTTTTTGATGTTTTTTAGTTTATTCGGTATTAAGTTTTAACATCCAATGGGAGTCAACATTTGTTGTGCAGTTTTATATACAACTGTAAGTAAATAGTTAAGATACTGCGAGGTTAATGGCACGTTCGTGCAAAATGGTTTATTTCCAACGTATATTAATAGCAATATTTACCTTTTATGTCTACACTGGTTTGTACGTGTAATTGGTTTCGTCATATTTTTTCTCGAAGCAATTGTTCGTTATATAACAAACCAAGAAAATGTAAACTCAATCTCCAACACAAATATTTATAAGAAAACATGAGATTACAAGAAAACTTAGATTTATTTTTTTAATTGGAAAACAAATCTTGCAGATATCCTGAAACTTTTATAAGAAGTAGAGTGCATTTCATTTCTAAGACAATAAAAAATAAAGTCTTTCCGTAATTGCAGCTTTTTTCTCTGCAATCTGCAGGAACAGATTAAAGATTTAAAAAGTTTTATGATTTAAGTTGGGTCTGCAAATTGTGTGTACTAAGTGTTTTGAAATAAGTATATAAATGTTATTTTGTGTGATTTCTATAAAAATAACTGTTTCTATAAACGTTACTTTCAAGTTCTGCAAACGCTATTAAAAGTTTGGCCAATGAAAGAAAACTAGCAATGCAATATTAACAAGATTCTTTGGCTTCAGCGATCAAAAAAAAATAAAATAAAAAATTTCAGACTTTTTATATTAAATGCACAACTTATTATTGAAATGAAGTGTTCTATTTTCTAAATTTGCCTGACGGAAAAAAAGTCGCGTCATTAATCAATTTCTGTTTTCGTGTTGTATTGCACACCCGTTGTTTGGTATGTGACTACGGCCTCTGTCCCAACAATATTTTCGCTCCATTAATTTTCTATTTTTCTCGATTGCATGAAATTCGACCATTTCAATTTCGAACTCGCCAAACGTGTGTAAAGTGCCAAGGCGTTTTACTGCCAACATTTTGGGGTACAAATATACACAACTTTTTATATTCCTTCAATATATTTTTACATCAATATAAATGTTAAATTAAAGTTTGAATTGAAGTTGTAAAACTGTTATTTAGTATAGGTATATAAATAAAACGAAAATATTTACGTTTTTACATTTTCAATTTATCGGGGAAGTCGCTTTTCTTGAAAACGTTACAAATGTTCGATCAGATAAAAAAAGATATCGAATGTCAACTTAATGCAAATAGGAATCTCATGTTTGTTCACAATCCAAATTTAGAAACTCAGAATATAAATGCACACGATCAAGCGTGAAATTAATGTTTTGTAAATTGAAAATAAAAATAATCTGAGACACAGACAGAACAATTTATGTCTATTGTTTTGCTGCGTGCTACTCCCAAGTTGCAGATTTTAGGTTTTTCGATTCTGGATTTCACTCAGAGCAACAAAGTATTGATTCCTTATTCTGTGCCTTTGCTCCTACTCTTTCCGCAGCTAAAAGGAGTTATACGAACATCCGATCTCAACCGAATCCATTACACTGTTCACTTGCTCCTCTGAGTTGCAAGTCCCTCGTATTTGAAAGTTTCAGAAACTTTTGCTCAATCATATTTAATATACCTACAATTAATTGCTTAAATTATTATGAATCATTGTGATTATTGTGATTATATCGGGATTATTGTATTATCTTACTTAATTCATTGTTGAGTGAAGCAGTGAAGGATTTATGTGCTTCTATTTGTGAATTGCAAAGCTCGGGAGCTTTGTGATTGTGCACCTGATGGTAAAAGGGTTATCTGAAACGTCCGAGGCTGCGCAATGCAAAATCCTATACCCTAATCAGTTACCGTGATCAGTTGCCGGATGGGCAGCGACGTTATAAATTGACCATCAGGATCCTAATTAATTTCTATTAAGAGATTACTTGCGCTTTTAGTTTGAATCTAACTAGTCCACAAAACATTTAATAGCTTCGATAACCATCAAATTTTGATTTATATGTATTATTGATATGAATTATTAAAATTTACGAATTAACGCGTTTTGTGTATTAATTCCTAAAATAATTGTTTTAACAATTTTACAACTTCTATAAAAAAAGTTTGCCAAAAACGTGCTTTTGTTTAAATTATACGCACATAATAAATTAGAAACGTTTTTTTTGCGTTTTGCACAATTTTTGGCTCAAAAAAGAGTTAATTACATTTGTATGTACACCAAAAAGCATCTAAAGAATTTATCACTCCCGCTATACTTTTTCATTTTCCATTATCTCCTCTGCTTGCTAGCCGGCTCGTTTTGGCGCTTGGGGTTTTTCACTTTTTCCACTTTGAGATAATTTATAATTTACAGCATTGCGCTGCACTTGTAGCTAAGTTCAGATAGATAACATTGGCGAAAGAAAATTATCGCTGTTTGCGCTAATTTCACCGTTTAAAAAAGAACCTACTTCTTTTTACGATGTCAGTTAAAGTCGGAAAAAATTGAACGTGAAAATGTTCACACTTTTGTAAATGTCACACAATTTTAGTACAAACTACAAGTACAAGGTGTAAGACATAGAGCTATCATCAATCAACATTATCCTGGAGGAAAACCTTTCCTAAATACTATGTATCAACTTTTAAACTAAAAACCCTAAACAAAAATTCCGAATAAAATAAGTATTTTCTGTTTCTCCTTAAAAATATAATTTTTTTACTAGTTGGAAAACGAATAAGTCGTTGCGTTTTCAATTATTTCCTTTCTCATTGTTTCCTAATAATCAAAAACAAGACTAAAGCCTGTTTCATCCCGGCGACTTAAATTATTAACTTCTTTGTACATTTTTTTCTATTTACTGGAATGGTCGGGCGTCTCTTCTTCTTGAAGGCAATCTTTTCCCACGAATCGAAATTGACCGCAAGCCGTTATTAACCGATGCGGCTCCTTCGCCGTCCTGCGTGTTGTGTGGCGTGTGATATTTCTTGTTGCAGAGTGTGGCTCTGTGTGAGCCGAAGGAGAAGATTGGAGCACGAGGCAATATGTTCTCCACAGTAAACATCATTAACTCTTTTCCGCTCGCGCGTCTTTTGACTGTTTCGCAAACTCATTCTATCGCATTCAGTCACAACGTGTAAAGGAACTTGAGTTTCTTTTTTTGGCCTAGTATAAATCATATTTACATCAATACATGCATTGTTTTATAAGACTTAAATCGTTCCTTTAAAACAACCTAAATATGTTTTGAATGTGGGGTTCACCATGCTTACTCCAAGATATACGACGTTTATATTTATTAGAGTGTTAATCGAAAATCGATTACTTTCGATTACATGCCACGCCATCCGCCATATTGTAACATAAAGCATGATTTATTGAAAATACGCCCCGCGAATATGAAGCTGCACCGTCGTGGATGCTTCGCATGCAAGTACTGTAACCTAAGGTAGTGATGGCGGCTGTGGGTTCTAAGGTGCTTCATAATATCATAATATCTAGATATCAGTATGCGTTGCAAGAAGCGAACAAGAACATTACCACACAATATCGTATGTAGGTTGCTACTATTCTGAGTAGGTACCTGTATGGAATATTATCATATAATATAATATAATACAGCCGTGTTTCTCAACTTGTGCCCCGTAAAACATTTTGTTATAGTTGCTATATGGAAACACTTGGATTACTTTAAATCAGGCTGTAAACAGTTGCACTTTCTAACCGAAATTGAAAAAACATTTGTACCAACATATTAGGAAATTTTTGATTAGTTTAGCAGATGGACAAAGTGTCGATGTCCTGAGTCTGAGTATCTATTATTTGATGTTATGCAACTATTAATTAACTTAATATATAGGCAATTTTTACGGGCTGTGGCTTGAAACAACATCCTCTGTAGTAGTGCAGAAGTACTATTACAGTTGGCTAAAATTATCTACAACGTAATTATCTAATACCTGCACACCATGTTACTCAATGCTCGATATCGGATATCAAGATATCTGCTAATTTTGTTTCACTTTGGTTTGTTACACGTTTCGGATTTTGCAAATTGGACAACATCGACAACACCAATGTTAAAACTTTGTAACTTTGTAACTACCTGCACCTAATAGTCCTACACTGGTAATAATGAAGATTGATTGACATAATTGACATACTGAGATTAAACCATTCAACATTCAACTTTTATTATAAATTAAACGACCTAGGGTTGTGTTTATTTGCGATTTATGGAATATTATTACAAACTAATGCATATCAAAGCTCAAAATATAATCATTGGTATTTTAGTTGAAAATAAATAGAAAATAAATTGCTACCTTATTTTGTTTTTGTGTTGCTATCGCAGCGTTGGGCAATATTTCACACGCAATAATCCGAGGCGCAAAGCGCTTTCACACTAATGAAAATTTTCCGCCAATAAAAATTAATCCAAAAGGTTCAATAACAAAAATATTGACTCCGTTTTTATCAAATATATTTGTATAAATTGTATTGAAATTGTAGTTTGAATAGCACCTGCTCTTTGTGCGCTTTGCAAATAACAATAAATCCGATTAATCATAAACTAAAACAAATATATTCTGCTGGTTGTAAAACTTTATGACAAATTTGTTTGAATATATCACACTAGTTATATTTTTAAAATGTAAAGAAGATTATGTCTTTTTATCTGCACGTTTATTTTTAATGTTTGCTAATATTTACGCTTAAAGGGATATAATGTGCGCGTAAAAATACACGCCTAGATGCACACGAGCGCAAACTACGCGCTGATAAGACAATATAATAAAAAAAGAAAACGAATAGCTTTCTGCGTTTACTGCGCGCCGTGCGCAATATACCTACGTTTACGGTGGCCAGACTTCAATAAAATGCCTAGTTTAATCGGCTTCTGGCACATATCTTTCATTACGTTTATCGGCAAATCCTCGGCAAAAATATTCGTAAAAAGCAAAAATTTAAAGCGATTCTTATTTAAATTTTTGAAATATGTCATGCTCAACTAGGATTTTTACAATATTTGATATTTTTACATTTTGCTTTTTTTTACTTTTGTGCACTAGCAAATAAAGTGGCAAAAATGTCGACGCGTCCGAGGCGGACGGCCGTGGAGTCGTAACAATCGCCGTAACGCATCCCATATAAAGTTCCGCGCTATAAAGGCGCAACAAAAGGGATAACGACTGAAGAAAGGCATATCGACGGAATGAAACG